CGATGTCTCTCTCCCCGATCGAATCGTGTCGTTCGATCGCGGATATGCAACTTGGTGGGTGGAACCCGCGCCTCGTGCGAGTTTAACTCAAATCTCAGAGTTCGATCGACCCAACCGGGCGGAGGAAGAGTTGCCGTTGGAGCAGCAACTGATGTCACTTGATCGGGTAAACAATGACAAGGCCGAGCGGAATGTGTTAGTTACTACTTACTTAACTAGTCGTTTGCTTTGTAAGTTCCCTCCGCTCCAGTCGGCCGTCAACACAAACAAAACAAAGACCCCATCCACATCCCGCCCGCGCTGGTGAGTCCGCGCTCCAGCGGAAATGTCTTTTCTCTTCCGAGACTTCCCGAACGGACTTGTACGTCAGGCAGATCACTCACTACTACTATCAAGTACGACTGCACTGCTAGACCACATCTTCCATTGTAATAGTACTAAAGTTATCTTGCATGGGACATCTCGTGCTCGAAGGATGGCGCCATTGTTGATTTCTAATCATCTCACCCTGCATAAGCGTAAGACACCATGATGTATTAGTAAACCCCCGACTTCATCGTCAACTATATATCATGCATCACGAGCAGGGAAAGGGACACTCTGCGATGTTGAGAAATTACACGGAATTCATCTACTACTACTGGTTTCAGTTTCTGTCTTTGCCAATATGCCCACTACGCCCCTTCGCACAGCTCTAATTGGCCTGTCATCCTCCGCCATCACCTCCTGGGCGGCCGATGCCCATCTGCCAGCACTCCAGAGCACCGCCGGTCGCTCTCACTACCAGATCACGGCTCTTTGCAACAGCAGTGTGGCCGCTGCAGAATCCGCCATCCGCACCTACCAGCTGGACCCGGCCACCGTCAAAGCCTATGGCAACCCGGACGAGCTGGCTGCCGATCCCACCATCGACCTCGTCATCTGCAATACTCGCGTCGACAAGCATTTTGAGACGGTGCTAGCCAGTATTCGCGCCGGCAAGTCCGTCTATATTGAGTGGCCCATTGCCAGCTCGCTGACCCATGTCGACGAGCTGCTCGCCGTGGCGGGTGCCAGTGGGGCGTCGGTGGCCGTGGGCCTCCAGGGCCGCTTTGCCCCCGCCGTGCTCAAAGTCAAGGAGATCTTGCGCTCCGGCCAGCTGGGCCGTCTGCTGAGTACGGAGGTCCGCGGGTTTGGCGGTACCCTCGATCGAGAGTTTTTGCCTCCGGGCCTGAAGTATTTCTCGCAGAAGGAGGTCGGCGGCAATCCTATCGTCATTGGTTTTGGCCATAGTTCGTCCTGATCCGTGTCTCCCTCTGGCTCACTGCGGTGAGGTCAATGCAGCAGCTGATTGACACTGACCTGAGCATAGTGATTGATTATGTCCAATCCGTCGTAGGAGATGTAGTTGCTGGCACCGATGAAGCGCGTACTCAGATCCAGCGGCCCCGCATCCGCATTCGTGATCCCCAGACGCAGAAGATCGTGGAAGAGGTTGACTCGGATGTGCCAGATCTAATCAGTGTGCATGGTATGACCAGGAGCCAGCAGGCAATGATATAAATGCTGCACGGTGCACTGACAGACCACAGGGTCCCTGCCAGAATCTCCTTATACAGTTCCCGGGGCCAGCCTAGTGGCATACTTTGCGCGAGGTCAACCTTTCCCGGGAGACCCGTCGCTCTCGTGGACGCTGAACTGTGAAGCGGGAGCCATTCGCTTGTCGGCGCCCGCGGGGATTTCGCTGCAGGCGGATGCGTACCAGAACCCGGCGACCATTTCGATCCACCAATATGCCACGGACACGGTGGAAGCGGTGGAATGGACGTGGTCAGAGGAGCAGTTGGAAGTGCCGGTCAAGGCCCGCTCTGTTCAACGGACCCTGATCGAGTTTGCCAAGGGCAACCGCGAAGGTTATGTCTCGTTGGAAGACGCGGCTGGTCGGGCCAGGCAACTGGCTCGGTGGCTGGATGCTTCTGGAGTTGGCAACTGAGCTTTTACTGAATTAGATGCTATCTGGAATAATGGAGTTTACTGTCCAAGCAGATACCGATACATACGCAGGGTGCAATAAACTCCCCGTATATGGTCCTTAACTTGATCCGATTGCTTTGCAATTTAACATGTGTATCTTGGTCATGCTGGTCTCAGTGGATCGGGTTGATCTGCTCGCTGGAAGTATAAATAACCCTCCAGTATCTTATCTTTTTTTTTCTTGTATTCAGATTGAAAATGACCCAGCTAGACGGTCAAAATGGGAATGTTGTACCTGGACTGCCAATCTATTATTTCAAGGCCATATGCCAATCACAAAACTATAACAGTACATCCTACATATTCAAAGCAAAGTAAGATGTCCCAATCTGCTCCTGAGACCAGCACTTCATGAAGCCCTCCCAGTCGACTGCCTGGACATCCGGATAACGGGCATTGTCCAACTCCGGCCCAACAAAGGTCTGTCCGTTGATCCAGTAGTAGTAGAAGAACCTATGGAAGGAATTTTTTATTAGTCATGACCGATATGTTGAAAGAGGGACTTATTTTGTAGACGTACAAAGACATATAGCTGTAGATATCCTGAGGGCTCTTCATTCGCTTGTCATGCATGGTCTTGTACAAGTCTTCGAGAGACCCGCGTTTCTCCAATGTCACCGGGGTACCATAGACCTTCTCATACGACTTGGCAATTTCCTGGATAGTAGCGCGGCCTCCAACAACTGACCCGAAAAAATGAACTCATTAGAACTATATGTAAACGAAGAATATTGGATTCGAGCTCGACTTACATTTCAACACACCCTTTGCCTCTGGATCCAAGACCACCTTTGCCGTGTACTTGGCGGCATCATCGTAGGTCGTTCCCTCCATAATCTCATTGCCATCACCCCAGTACCGGAAGGTATTGGTCTGAACATCGACAATGTTGAAGAAGGGACTGAAGATGGGCTCCATAAAGCCACCAATGAGAATGTGCACCCCAGAAACCTTCTTCTTCTCCGTATCGAGGTAGTTCTTGACATGGATCATGGGATCCTTAGGGAACAACTCGCCCAATTTCAATTTGGTGTAATCCAGTGCCCAGTCACTGGCCACGTAGCGCGGAACATTGGCTGACTCACAAGCGTCGATGAGGAGCTTCTGGCCGTCCACCGTGAGCTTGTCATCGCCGAGGTAGTAGCAGACAACAACGTCGTAGCCTTGGACGAAGGTGGCAATTGCGTCTTGGTCAAACGCGGCGCCCTTAATTATCTCAAGCTTGGGAGACAATTTCACGAAGTCTGGGAGCTTCGAAGGGCTGCGGCAGTACCCTCTGATAGTCAGGGAGTCGTCACCAGCGTCAAGGAGGTGGGTGACAAGGCGGCGGGCAAATTTGCCCGTGATTCCTGCAATTCCGACTTTCATCTCGATAATTCTTTGATGTTTGTGATAATCTGGATTCTGTGAAGTGTACGAGGAGAAAATGTTTCACTATGTAGTTATAGTCCAGTACTTAATGGAAACCTTTATATGACCTACTGGTGGTCCCGGTTTGTAAAGCTGGCGCCCCCCGGCGGCTATATCAACCCCCGAGCTGATTCATTTGTTGCGGCCGTGGATTTGAATGTCAATCCTCAAACTTGGGTGGAACCGGTACCTTGGTACCCACATGGCACATTCTTACTTCCAATAATTTCTATACATAGTAGGAAAGGTTGATTGTGCCTGGACGAGGCGTACGCTTGATAACCGTTTGTGTGCTGGACACATTCCTTCTTGACTAGACTGAAATGCATCTCTCTTGCTCGTGACCTGAAAACCACATAGGGAAGGTTAGGCAACGTAATTCGGAACGCCCAACATCTACTAGAATGAACTAGTAGAATAAATAGAAGCTACTCAAATATACTTATATTGGAACAAAGCACTACAATAATCCTTTGCTATGGACAAGTTTAATAAATCCCCGGAATGAGACGATATTTCACGCGCGACTTAATCTCCTTGTACTCGTCACCATACTAGATAACGACCATTAGTCTTTCTTCTCCTTTTAGTCAATGTTAAAGAAGTCTTACCCTGTCTGTCAAATACGCGTCTAACACCGGGACCCCACGGGCCGCAAAGTCGTAGAAGAAGAAAGAAAAGTTTATAGCCGCCAGAGGCAGGCCGCCAGTGACCAGGGCATAGCCAGCACGCCAAATAGTATACCCACCATAGTTGATGTTCGTAGCGAGGGAGAATAGTCCGCCGCCATACGGCTTGCCTTTGTTGGCGGGGTCTTTCTTGAAAGCTGTCCGTTGGAATTCGGAGACTGCTTCAGTGAGGATCCCGATGAGGTATGCGCCTGCGCCCACGGCAACGAGAGGACTCGCGAGTAAGAAGTTGGAAGACTTGTTGGAAGATAGGGTGCTGGGCACTTGGGAGGTGACAGCCCAAACAGACAGAAGAGTGTTCACGGAGTTGACGATAGTGTTGAATGCGGCGACAATGATGGCGGAGGCCACGGGGGTCTCTTGCTCGGAAATGAAGATCATGGTCGCAATCTGCTTGATGCTGCTGCCAAAGGAGAGCAGGTTCACGAGACCATAGTAAGGTTGAAGGCCCGTAAAGCTTGTAGAAGATATAATATGGCTTGTTGAGACTGCTTGACCCCCAAGCGTTTCGATGGCTCGTGTAGCCCATCCGCGGGTGAGTAGATGGTGTTGCCACCAGACATCTAGGGCACGAAGCCCGATGAAGATGCCTCTGCCGAGGGGAGAGGCATCCTTGCGGCGGGAGACGTTATCGCGCAGGGAATTTGAAGGCATGATGGAATACGAACTGTTGCAAGTTTACCTGGAAGAGAGTAGGATGAAAAGTCTACAGCGACGGGGCACAAGTGAACTGCGAGGGATCTTGAATTCGGGGTGTCGATAATCTCGGGCCTGAAATAAACCCCGAGAAGTAAGGGGTGATGTAATCTACCGTACGTTAATAATACGGGTAAGTTTCATGAGACCGGAACTTTATTGCTGATAAACCAAATTTGCATCTGTGATACACAATCTATAAAGGGGTTCCTAGGTAGATGGATCAATTCCACATCATTAATATCTCTTACCTGTCACCATGACTGCCGTTCTTATCACGGGCGCAACCGGCAAACAAGGGGGTGCCCTCATCAGGAATCTCCTACTTCGAAAGGCCCCCTTCGAGATCCTCGCCGTCACCAGGAACCCATCCTCCTCATCTGCCCAGAAGCTGGCTAGTCTATCTACGAAAATTAAGCTAGTGGAAGGCGACCTGGATGACCCGGGTGCCATCTTTCGGAACGCTCAACGCCTGACGACATCTCCCATCTGGGGGTATATAGTGTGCAGGTATGTGTTTAGATTAGTTCTTGGTATATAGTTCGCCCATATTGACTGTGTCTGCACTGGCGGCAATCGGAAACAAGGCCGAAGAAACCCAAGGGAAAGCGTTGATAGACGAATCCATCCGTCAAAAGGTCAAGTTCTTCGTCTACAGTTCAGTTGACCGCGGCGGTGGGGAGCGCTCGTTCCAAAATCCTACCAAGATACCCCATTTCATCAAGAAACATAATATTGAACATCATCTGGTCGACCGCAGCAAAAGCGGAAACATGGACTGGGTGGTCTTGCGTCCGATAGCCTTCTTCGAAAACCTGACTCCGGATTTCTTTGGCAAGGTTTTCACCACATGCTTTAAGATGGCATTGGCGGGAAAGCCGCTGCAACTTGTCGCCACAAGCGACATCGGATACTTTGGAGCTGAAGCATTTCTCAATCCGGAAAAGTACAAGGGCAGAGCGCTTTCACTTGCTGGTGATGAACTGACCTTTGAGGGGATGGGGTTAATCTTTGAACAGAAGACTGGACGGCCACTGCCTATGACGTTCCGCCCGGTATGCTCGTTATTTATGGCCATGATGAAGGATATGGGATATATGTTCCAGTGGTTCCGAAATGAGGGATATAAGGCTGATATTCCGAAGTTGAGGGAGATCCATCCCGAGATGATGGACTTTGCGATCTGGTTGAAGAAGGAGAGTGGGTTTAAAAAATAGCCGACTTTTTGGGGACACATGTGGTGTAAAGTATAGTACAGTGTATAATAATCTAGCTATTCGAATAATTTTAATAGAGACCAGTTGCAAAATAGCGGCTCTCAGAATTGCCCTACACGTTCACAGTCGTGGAACGAATTTGCAAAAGGGATATTCGGTACATATAATGATTTCTACAAGGGTTCCTGTGAGGTATATCGTACATCCTAACCGTCCTGAGATGTTCGGTATTCCCATCAAAGCTCATCATGTCTATCCTCTAGACTCTCCCGCCTCAGCAGCAGCAGATTCTCCCTCCGCTTCCACGCCAACCTCGCGGCACCCTCTGCCACCATAGTGATTTCCTTTAACGAACCAAAAATAGGAACTTCGTGCCCGAGAGCCTTCCACACGGCGCGATGCACAAGCTCTCCATCGAAGTAATCGGTCAAGACAATTACGTAGTCCACTCTCACGAGGTTCGATGCTTTTCTCGTTTTGTGCAACTCTGCAGATTGTTAGCGCTAGGTCAGCACTAATATTGATGCCGGGATATGTGGTTCAGAAGACATACCTGCGGTAGCTTCCAAGTAAGCTTGAATATTGTTTGCCAAAACTTCCACGTAGCCGTCCTCAGCTGCCGTGATCTGGCTACGCGTGAGAACCAGGTCGGGAACGCTCCCATGCGCCCACCAGGAGTCTAGATTTATCGGAAGTTCGTCAAGCCTTTCCTCATCTTCATAAACTCCGTTACTGCCGCCCTGATCTCCCAGCAACGGCTCAAGCCCTAGCAACAGCTCCACTGCCGGATCGTACCCCTTCAATGTCAACCTTGTCTTCAGCACCGCCTGTGTCAGAAATCCCTTATCACCACCCTCATCAACCAGCGTTTGTAACTGAGCATCACCACTAACAAGCTCATTCACAAGTTGGAGTTGGATCCGCTGGCCACTCCACGGAACCAATGGGAGATACGGGTACCCCGACCTGCGGTGGCGGCGGCGCTGCTGTGACCCGTCGTACAGCTGAACGCCACAATGGAATTGTCCCTGGTGAACAACCAGTACACGATCATCCTGGTCAACCGCCGGATTGAGGTAGTGAGTGCAGAAGGAGCGCGGGGGTACGGCGCCCCCGAGGATCGTGATTCCCACCTGCTGCCCAGCTTGAATCACAGTGTCTCTCAGCGTGTCGTTGAAGAAGTCCGGCACGCCGACCACGGCCCAGGTCATGTTGACACTGTGGGCTGCGAGGGCGGTTGCCTTGAGTTCGGCGAATACTTCTGTGAGTGTTTCGGTGACGTCGGACAGAGACAACTTCTTCTGGATCAGGCCGCGCGAGACGAGGAAGGACTTGATCCTTTCTCGAACAGAGACAGGAATGGTGCCGTAGACACTGTCAGATATGGAGCGGATTGAGTCTTGAGTCCATATGACATATGAGTTGCTGCTAATGGGGACTTTCGCATCGATCACTTCGAACAAGCTCCACAGGACGCTGCCTAGGAGCGCCAGCGGTGTCGACCTCGATCCCCTTCCCGGCCTCGCAAGGCCGGATTGCTGAAAGTGGTCCCAGGACAGTTCCCCAATCTGCCGCTGGTACTCCTCATGATTTACCACCCCTAGCAGGGTGAAATTGTCAACGGAATTGGCGTAGGAGGCGGAGACAAGACGATGGCCGAGGTCGATGCCGATGGGGTCGTTGGGTGGAGCATTGTCGCAGGTCTCTTCTGCCCCAGCCGCGGTGGAGACGCACCACCACAGCAGGGCCAGAATGAGTTGCGAGATGATCATATTACGGATGAACGAATTTTTACTATTTTTTAAATTTTCTTCTTACGGCTGGCGGGTGCTAAGCCTCATTTATAGGGAAGGAGGTGGCCAGGCAGAATCGGAGCTAAAGCCCATCGTGCCTGAACCAAGTGGGTCCCAGTCCATTCAGGGTCCGTACCCAAACAAGACTAGCTCGTACTGGATGTCAACCAAATACATCCTAAGGGCATAATGATTTGAAAGATCTCCTGTTCTGTCCTATAATAATTGCATCTCAGAGATGAGAGATTAAAGGGTACATCAAGGCTGCCTGTAGCTACTGAGATGAGTGTCCAAGCCGACCGCTTGTTAGAAGGATGGGCCTACTTAACACTACGTAGTCCTTACGAAAGATAGAAGCCAATGCAAATAAATGGCAAAAATGCCTTTCAACTACTATACATATTTTCGGAATATATCAAAGAGAATCGCGAGGATTCACTTCTCCGAGGCTTGCTCTCTTAATTGCACCCCAGCTTGCTCACATTTGTCCTCTTTCATTCGAAGTTCTCTGCTTGCATACGATGTTTTGCATTGAATATGAGTTTTGTCCGAAATCAGATTCCGAGAAAACATACAAGCAGCACCGAGCGATGGGCCAATTGTTCTTTTCTCAACGTGTTATTCCCTCCCTCACAGAAGGGGACCAGATTCCTATAAGCAGTGCTCCTCACAATCGGACTCGCAATCAGTATCACAATTTCTCAGATGCCGGCGGAGACTGAGCACCCCGCGGGCATCCAAGTTGTCCGCCCAGCTCGCGTACCAGTCCAAAAACTCTGGGATCGAGTCAAAGCGCGGCTTCCGTCCGTAGAGTATCTGCGGCTCGAAGACGGGAGACGCCTCGGCCTCCATAAACACCACGCGCCACCCCCACTCCTGGATATTGGGGGCGTCCAGGATACCTTCATCGCGGAATTCGATCCCATCCATATCCTCCTCTAGACGCTTCCGGCAGTACAGGTACGCGCTGTACCACTTCGGATACTCTCCCACGTAGCCGCTGCCCGTGACCACGCCCGCTCGGACCTCCAGATCTTCATCCGGACCGGCCACAATCTTGGCCTTATTGATCAAGTCCGAGTTCTCCCCCTCCAGCCACTCCCGCAGCCGCGCACATTCCTGGCGTACACGCGCATGGTACTGGTCCCGCTGCTCCTGCGTGTCCAGACAGGGGAAGCTTCCATACCGGCTTTGCACTAATAACGCTGCCTCGAAGGGGGCGACGCCCGAGTGGCGAAAGTCCGGGTCTTCCACCTCGTGGGCATATGTTAAAAGCCGGCCCAGCTCCTCACAGCGTGGGATCGGCTCCAAGGCTAAATCTAAATCCTCCTCCTCGGCGGCCGCCCACTCCTCCGCCTGCCGGTGGAATACTTCCTGCAGGGTGTCGAGAAACATTTCGCGGGCTTCTGGCGTGCGGAGCCGCGGCGGGTGGACCCCGTCCATGGCGAACAGGGGGCGTGTCTCCTTGGCCAGCAGCGCCGGCACTGCCGCCAACTCTCGCGTCTGCCGGAACTGGTCGCTTATGCGGCGGGCGTCGGGGCTGTTGTGACCGTCCGGACCGTCTTGGTCCAAGTCTCCGAAATGGCGCCAATCCTGCATCATTCGGATTTTCTCTTTCTCAGTCGCGAGTCCGCGGGCGTCAATCTCATCGATGCGGTCCTGGACGAACTTTTGGTTGGCGGCCGCTATGCGCCTGCGGAACCGATCAACTGCCTGCCGCATGGTTTCGTCCGCGTCGAGGGACGACGGATTGGTGCTGTTCGGAGCGTTCGTTGACATAATTACTGCGAAATGAAAAGAGGCGACAATGATTGGAAAGAGACAAGGAGACCCTGGAAGGGGAAAATTCGCTTAAAATACTGGGTGTTATTTAGGCTTCCAGCTGCAGCCTGGACTTGGAAACTATCGTATCCGCTACCGCCCCACTTGGAACTCTTCCAGGTTCATAATGTTGAGACCTTTGAGTCACCCCATCTGCTTGGCAGCCTGCAATATATTCTTTTTGGCCTATTTGGCAAGAATGCTCTTGTCACATTTGAGGCAACTCCGAAAGTGGAGGTAAGCCGAAAACCAGAAAGAGACGATGCCCCAAACAGGTACAGTTTTCATAGGAAGCAATCCGAGGCAGCCAATCTACTTCTACAAGATTCCAAGACATCTAGATCGAGATCTCATTGTACGGTTCAGTAAGTAGCCGCACAGAAACACCGTGCTGGAACGTGTTTTGACTCCAGAGCAAGACGAGCCTCTCGAAGGAATGAACGAATTCCTGGTAGTTTCGGAGGCTTCTCCACGTCTGTGCATTTACCAAAGTAAAAGTACTAGAACTCATTCTACAGCATGTCTGACACATTCGTCATCAAAGTGTCCTCCAAGGTAGACCATCCAGGCTTTCCCATTTCCTTCAGTAGATCCTGGGCGCGGGCATCCGGACCGATGTCATAAGGGATCCTTTTGTCTGCACCTGGTAGTGCGCTTGGAAAGTCACGATCGGGGAAAGCCTTTCGAAAGATGTATATGACTTCGTTCCATGTAAAAGGGTTCCCAAAAGCGAAGATTCGCTCATTCTTCACGTCCGGGAGTGTGAGACCCGCCACATGGAGAAGTGCGACATCCTCCGCATCAACGCAGTAGGCTCCTGTCAGTCCACATCAGCTTGAACGCCCGATTTTTGTGAAACAGAATTATAGTACCTGTAGGTATGACGTGCCTCAGGAACGGCCAGACTTGATCAAATTGGTTACGGAAGATAGCTGCTGGCCAAGCAGAGGATGACGCATGGCCCTGGGATTTCGCATCAATGGAGGCCCCGAAGCATACGGAAGGTAAGACTGCATACCATGGGTTTAGTCAGGGTTTAGGGCACTTCATGGAGTGCTTTTGACCTACCGGTATTTATAACGAATCGTGGACGATTCTCTTCAGCCCACTTCCATATCTCCTGCTCGCCTCGCGTCTTGCTGGCGGCATACATGTCGAAGCCTCCCTTCGGACCCATCGTGTTAGTCTGGCTTCTCCGGATAGCCTCTTCATTCCACGTATCCACAGATATAGGCATGCTTGGCCCCGCTGGGTGCTCCAAGAAGGATGAGAAGGTTGCTGCCTCGGATGAGGAGGTGTATACGAATCGCTTTATGGTATCTTCCCTCGCCGCACTAACAAGGAGGTTCCGATTGGTACTGATAACACCCGTGATTAAGTCGGGTGTGTGGCCCAGGATGGTTGCGACGTGAGCCACGCCAGAAACCCCTGTGGCTGTCGATTAGTTCTTCTGAGAAGCATACGGCACTTTTCACAATTCGCAATAGAGGCAAGACCCACCTTTGACTGCGCCGTCGAAAGCACCAGGCACAGTTATGTCCTCAACCTTGACCAACTCAAATCGGTCGGCACCGTATTTCTCATGGAACAGGTCTTCGACCCATTGGTTCTTGGATGGATTCCGGACAGTTCCACGGACTCGGTAGCCTTGCCGTAGGAGTTGGCTCGCCGTGTGAGAGGCCACATAGCCATTAACGCCAGTGACTAAAATCCAAGAGCCTTTGGGGATTGCAGTATTGGTGGAAGAGTGCGCCATGTTGTTTCAATGATGACTGTTCCAAAGGCGCGAGTGGAAGTGAAAGGGACGAGCAAACCATTGTCTATATTATAATGATCATCATCTGACTTAATGAACCCGATTTGTCTGAGTTATATCATTAATGTGACGTCTATTTCGGCCCCAAAGTCCAAATGATGAATGATCTTCCATGATTGACTAACCGTGCCACTCTCGGGCTTCATTTCAATGCCGAGCCCTGAGGGTATCTGCTTACATAACATCCTGTCCATCCGGAGCATGAGATTAACTGGATTTTCAAGTGTTTATTTTCAACCGAGACAGGCAAATGTCTATTCGCATACGGACATGATGGACAGCGCTTCAACTACACGTAGTTGCCGGCGTTGTAGCCAGAAAAAGATACGATGTGACAAATCCCAGCCTTGCGCGAGTTGCATCAAGTCGGCCTCGGAGTGCATCTTCCCAGGTCCCGGCCGAGCCCAACGACGAAAGAAACGGCCACTGAAGGCTCAACTTGTGTCGCGGCTGAAGAGCCTGGAGAAGGAGGTGCAGGTTTTGACTCACAAGCTGGAGGCTGTGAATCAGAGGTCGAAACAGCATCCCCTGACGACAGACAATAGAGGCGCCGTAGAAGGCGAGCATGGGAAATTGTTAGTGGACAGAGAATCCATCCACTATATCAACCACCAGGTTCTTGTTAATCTAGCAACCCAGGTTGGTAGGCTTTACAAGCATAACACTTCCGATACTGACACAGGGCTCCTTGGCGAGCCGTGACAGACGAACGAAGATAGCGAACACTTTAAGCATCGTCTCGAGAAGGGGGAGGATGAATCTGCGGTGCAAGAAGTGGCATCAATCGGCAGGGAGTGTGAATTGGCGACCGGGAATCAATTTGTGTTTCAGTATTCGTCGATGGCAGTTTCCCTGTCCGACTTCTACCCCAGCAGCGCCCATCACCGTATCTTATGGAACTTATTCGAGGAGAATGTAGCCCCGCTGGCTATGATCTTTCATAAACCGTGGCTTACTAGCATCTTGAACAGTGCAGGTGCAACGGCTATCGTGGATGACAAGGCTTTCGAGGCTGTGAGGTTTGCCGTCTACTTTGCTGCCACTACCAGCATGAGCCCAGAGCAGTGTACTGAAACATCCAGCCAGGGCAGTCATCCCTGCAGCGATACTACCGGTTTGCCACACAGCAAGCATTGGCGCGTGCCAATTTCCTCCAGTCGCAGAGCCTGGCCGTGCTTCAGGCAACGACCCTCTTCTTAACTTGTTTGCGTGGGGCAGATGATGCCGCCTTCGTCCGGGCTACGACAGCGGCTATACATCGCATCGCACAGGGACTCGGGTTACATCGCGATGGTACCTACCCCGGACTGAGCCCTTTCGAAACCGAGGTACGGCGGCGGCTCTGGTGGACCATATACTTGTTAGACTGCCAGTCTTCCGAGTTTCGTGCTTATCGGTCGGTATTCAAATAAAAGAAGGCACCTACAACACCAAGTTACCCCTGAATATCCACGACTCGGATATATCCCCACAGTCTAGTGCGGTTCCTGATGAAAGGTCTTGTTTCACTGATATGTAATTTTGTTTGATACGGTGTGAAATGACGGTGCTTCATCGAAAGCTTCATTCAGATCTGCGTTGTAGCAGCAGCAATTACGATGAAGGCGGCTCACTGAACGCGGTGAAAAGGCTCCATGGGTTGAAAGAGATACACAATCGATTGCAGAGGCAGTACCTGGGGCTCTGTGACGTCTCAATTCCATTGCAGTGGGTGACAGCCACCGTCATCCGCCTGGCTCTTGCTCGATCATGGTTGATTGCCCACCTCCCTGAAGGCATGTCCGCGGCAGAGCAGGTGTCGTTGATGGCACGCTCAGACGTGGAAGACCTCAAGCGGGGAAAGCTCTTCGTGACAGCCATTGAAATATTGGAATTTGCGTATTTGCTCGAGACCGACCCTCGCACCAAGAAGTGGTCATGGCTCTTCCAGGGATACCCGCAATGGCATGCTGCCATCTTTCTCCTTGAGCAGATTGGCATTGGACCACAGACAATGCTGACTGACCGGGCCTGGGCTGTAGTAGTCAAAGTCGTCACACGTTGGAGAAACACCGACTATCAAAAGGACGGGGTGATCTCAATCTTAGTCTCCCGGCTTATGGCGCAAGCTGCAGTCGCACAGGGATGCATCTGGGACGGGAGAGAGAGAGAAGACGGGCCAGGATCACCGCCTGAAAACCTATCCTATAGCAAGAATCAATAAGTCTGTTGAATTCTTACATCATAATAAACCGATATTAGGATGATTATAGGTGTTTGTCTCGCTTTGTATCCTGGAAGAGACCAATGCTGAGCCACTTGTCCCGGTATAAATTGGACCAAAGTATATGCTTCAAAAATATAATGAGACAATGATCGTCAACCTTTGCCCATATGTGACCGGCAAATACCCCCTATCCAGGCGACTTTGAGTGAGGAAGATGGTTGGCTTCCCACAGCTATCTAGAAGAATACACAAATGCGGCGATATCTGACTCACGTTGAATACCGGCCATTCAGATTCACAAGGTATTCTAAAGCACTGTGCAGGAAGGAAGACAGTATTAATAGTAAGTATCTCGAGACAGTGGGTCGCGCCTTCCAGTGAGATTGTTGAATATATAGATTATAGTCACGATCAACTTCCCGGGCTCAGGAGCCATGTCAATCCTCATTATATATACACATATCTACAACTTCATCCTCCCCTTCATAATTTTTCCATCCTGCCAAATACACCTACTGCACAACAAATTGAGTGGAATGATCTTTGTACAGCACACTGGAGTCCAGTGTCTCGCCCGTAGTGGAGCGGATAAAGTCAACCTGCAGCGCTGTCGAGTTGAGGAAGCGCAGAGTACTGTAGCTGTAGTCGTCGGCGTAGGCAAAGGCCGTGTAGGAGGGCTCTGTACCCACGGAACTCAGGCCCTCAATGTTGCCGGCACCACCTGCGACAATGTACATGGGCGCCTTGGGGTTGTTTAGGCCATTCGGGTCGGCAGTGTCATTGACCACGGGCTGGAAGCGCTGCGAGTTGTGGACGTGACCAAAAACGCCTAGGTCGACGCCGTACTTGTAGAAGATGTCCTCGAAGGCCTCCTGGCAGACATCGCAGGCGTTGCCGCTGCCGGTGGTGTACCAGGGGCGATGACCGGCCACCACCACCCAGGGGGTCACGGTGCGGTCGACGCTGGCCAGGTCGGCTTCGAGAAATTCCAGCTGCTCGTTCTTGAAGCCGAACGGGCCCGAGTCAAGATCTGCCGAGCCATCAGTGCCGTCGGGAGCCTCCTTGAAGTCAGTCTCGGTGTCGATCATGGTGACGTGAACCATGCCATACTCGAAAGAGTACCAGAAGGGTGGGACGGCCAGACTGCGCGCCTTCTCGGCGAGTGCCTGGGCGGTGGTGTTGGTGGACTGAGAAGCGAAAGCGCTGGGAACGGTGGCATCGAAGCGGTGCAGGAAGTCGGTAAAATTCTTCTGACCCTCGGGGCAGAGGGCGTTCAGATAGGGAATCTCGCTGCAGTCGGCCTCGTGGTTGCCTGGTCCCGGCATGTACAGTCGGCTACCGGAGATGGGAGCCAGCTGGTCATAGAAGCGCTCCAGAATGGACTGGTAGGCATCGGAGCCGTCCAGCCAGTTCCCAACATCCTCGTACCAGTCATCGGCGTATGCAAAATCACCCGGATGAATGACCAGCTCGTAGTCGTCGATGGTATCAGCCAGGCGGCCAATGGTGGTGTGGTTCAGATCGGGCTCGACCTGGGGAATGTCGGACTTCTTTGCCTTGCGCGAGGAGAGCGTGTAACCGTCGGTGCCGTAGACACCCAGGTCAATAATGACGTCCATGCTGAAAGGGGTCGTGTCACCGGGTGTGCGCGGGCTGAGGAATTGCCCCACGGTGGAGTTGTCGGACACAATCTTGTAGTAGTAGGTGGTGGCCGGGGTGAGGTCGGTCAGGTAGGCGACGTTAGACCAGGTCCTCGAGGTTGAGTAGGTGGTCGACTTGGTCGAGCAGGCCTTGGAGTCCAGGTTGCTGCTTGAGGTGCCATACTCGACACAGCTCTGGTTCAGCTGCTCATAGGTGTTCCATGCGACGGAGACAGCTGAATCATTTGGTCCTGAACGTCAGCGGTGGTTCTGGTGTGTTGAAGACGGACAGCTGGGTTCCTCACCGTTGGGTCCATAGATTGCCAGTCGCTGTTGGTAAGGGGTGGTCTTGTCCTTGGGGATGGTGGGGTAGTCGACGGCCAAGGAACCCACCGCGAGGACAGGCAGCACCTTGGTCAAGGCGAGAAGCTTGGACATGCTGGCGAATGATCAGTGCAGATGTAAATCTGATTGACGCCCGTGGAAGACATTCCTTAAAAGCCATTTCAAGGATGACGGTCGCAAGGGTATATATATGCTACTTCAGTGGGCAGCCGCATGACCAGAAAATGCGTCTCAGGACTAACACGTGGGAGGGGATAAGATAGATGCGGAGCAGTGAATGCAAGGAATGCATCGCGTCAGGAGAGCTTCTCGGCGGACGCTGCAGAATAGGGTTATTTGGCAGGCAACGTGCGCCGGCCCGCACTTCTGCTTGGAACGCGAGCAGCAAGAGAGGGGCTGCTGTTCATCTCCGCCTCATTTAATTTCATTTCTGCAAACTTGACGAGCGACGGAGAGAGAGAACGAGTGAGAAGCTTGGATGAAGGGGTTAGTGCCGCACGTGGGATCGGCCGCGGCTGTCACTGCTCGGGAGGAGAGGCCATTCGGGGAGAGACGAACCGAGGCTATTCCCGTCTGTCGATCACTCTCGGTCGGGAGTCCGTCGGCGATGGACTGACACTCCTGTTTGGGACTGGTTGGTTTCGGCTACCAATGGGAGTTATTGACCATCGTGGTAATGGTGGGTTGCATTCCCTCTCTGGTTAACTATCTACTGGTACTGACAAGCTGCATGCGAGGTAGTAGTAGTGGACCCCATCACGCTAGAAACGTTCTCACAGGAACAGCACCTCCCCGACCATCCACACCAATCAATTGCGGTTTGTCATATAATTGTATCCCCGGTCAGACATGGCCTTGGCCTGGCGCGTGTGTTCATCCAAATCCTCCGTGGGAAGTCGCAGCAGGTCATTGTCTAGCCCCCGACGCTGCTCGTGGTTGCCATCGCCGTTGGGAAAAAGGACCCGCGAGTACATGGCCAGCAGCAATCCCGCATGGTCGCCCTTCTTCATCAACTCCAATCCGCGCTCGTACCGACCCTGAGAGGATTCCTGCTCAATCGTCCAACTGTCCGCCGTCTCGCCCGTCACTCGGAGCCAACTTGCTAGCATGTCTCGCTGACTGAGCAGGAAACTGGAAATATACACCGGCTTGTTCCGCCACCGACTCAGGGTCAGCTGGTCATCTTGTTCATCTTCCGGGAGCACCGGAAGGCTCAGAAGGGTGGACACGGCTCGGCCACACTGGGCTAGGGTGCTGATATTGATCTTGGTGTTGCCGTCGTCGTTCAGGATGAGCTTCTTGGCGGGAAGATCGAAGCCGAATGCACTCGGTCCCAGTACCAGGCTGTGCTCATACCAGAATCCACAGATCAGCGCGGTCCACCCCATGCCCTTGGCCTCGATGCCGGCCACGAGTTCGCGGAACCCTCCCCAGTTCAGGCCACTGTCGGCTAACGGCGGGTGCATGACATCACAGCCCCAGACATTTGGCATCACATGCCGGATACCAGCCTGAGAGGCAGCCTGCAGCAGCTTTGGCTGAGTATCGCGAGGGGTCTGCACTGACAGGCTGATGATCAGGCAGTCGTGGCCCTGTAGAGCGCGTACTAGACTGGCCTCGTCATCGTAGTCCACGGCAATGGACTGGACGCCGGAAGGCACCTGGCTCGTACTGCCGATGCGGGTCAGGGCTGTCACGCTATGCTGTCCAGTCCGCAGCAGTTCCTCGGTGATGGGCCTTCCGACGGTGCCCCCAGCCTGGCAATCAGACTTGTGGTTAGTGATGTGGATGGCACAGACGGGCACAGGGGGCTTACCCCGACGATGGCAATGCGCTGAATACGGTTGCTGAACCCAGCGGGTTGATCCTTGACGTATTCGCCAGTCATGACGAAAGACACAGATGATTTCCTGTTGTTTGGATATACTAGTATTGAATGGATTCCGTATCTGATGCTGTTGTAGCAGCCAAGTAGTAGGTGAATATATACTTTTGAGGGATTCCTCGCCGTACGAGCGATCGGGGATTAGAGGCGTTATCTCCGCCATTGTCTCGGCGTCAATACGTCGCCCGGAGTTAGATGAATCAGCAACTAACCTTCTCTCCGATCCCCCGGAGATATGTCACGCGAAGGTTCCCCAGGAAGAAGCAGGCCGTGGATGAGTGGACACCAGCCTGCGATCCTGCGATCCTGCGACCCCGGGAGATACGGTGACCGATTCTCCGATCCGCCTGAAGTCAAGCGAATCTCACCTCATCCAGGTGCGATGGGCGGCAGGCTTGCTGTGTTTACTTGGCGATGATGTGAAATCCATCCTCAGGTTTCTAATCAGTAGAACAGTTCGTCAAAGGATTATCTACTGGTTGCTATTGTCGTACTAACGTAATCAACGGTTGGACGGCCCACACTGTTGGGCGGCCCATCTGGAAATACTATACCAAAGATTCTTTCTGGATATCTCAACTATTGTATGTCTAGACAACTCAATATTGCATAAATTGATTATAAGTAATATAAATAACTACTTCAAACTTTCCAAAAATCTATGTAAATGTATATAGTATCTCGTCATATTACGATATATATATTTCATCTGTAATATGGGATATATTGATATATTTTATACAAGAAAAATTTTTCAAAATCAGGAAATAATATATATCATTTATTTTCATGTATAGAACCTATATGTGAGGTTAGAACTAATCAGATATAGTATTAATCGAGATATAATGGAATCAAAAAGACATCTTTTATATGGGATAACGAGATGGGCCGCCCAACCGTGGATTACGTTGATAATTTAGTTAGTTAATCTTGTGGAGATTACTAAGTAGGGCATGATTCTGGTCGCCCCTACAAGGCACAACATGACGCTCCTCCCCTGTTCGGCCACAGATCGTGTCTATGAATCATCTCCAGGAGGCCTCCACCCAAGCTTTGAAATCTCGGTTGAACGTGTCGAACCCCTGGCGGGTGTTCTCTCTCCACCCCGCTGCGTTGGCTAGCATTCCTTGACCCATGAGAAAACTGAGCAGTCCAGTGAATCGCTCTTCGTGGACGAGGCGCGTCCGGTACGGTTTGCCAGGCTGATCTGCGTCAATAGATTCAAAGCTGAAGCGGTGTTCGCCGGTGAAAATTCCCGGAATTGAGCCCACCCAGCTGAAGAGGGCCGGGGTATTGGCTTTGACAATGGGCGTGAAATGCGTCTTGCCGTAGTTGACTGTACAGTTCAATCGGTCCCCGGCTTGGAGATGCGTGGGGGGCTTGTCAGTGACAGAAGAGATGTGTTGAATAAAGCCAGATGGAGAGTAAGTGGGTAAAGCTGCGAAATCCAGGAACTGTTTCGAGGACGAGGTCAGTTTGCTCGGGCACATTTGGGGGTGCCGGGATAGGCCGCACCTTGTCTCGTACCACCCCGGGAGGGGCTGCGATCTCCACGCTGGTTGTGATGGTATACATGGAATATTAGCCACAAGGGATTCTTGACATAGTTGAGTCACTGGCGATGACGAGCAGTGATCCAGGATTCGGCATGGCCTTTATATGGCGACTCGAGCGGGCGTACGGGATGCCGCGTCCGAAAGCCTCATCGTTGCAGCTCCATGTGTGGCTAGGATGCGATTGTTAGTCTTGCGAGAAAGATTGACCCAGTTCGTCAGAGGTTTACAATATACCCAGCCAGATACAGCCAGAACATATGTGACAGTATGAATCTGAGATTCTGTGGCACCCAAATTGGTATGCTTTCTGCCACCATTCATGCATATAGTCTTCATCGACAGAGTGAAGACATGTCCATCTAACACCTGCCCCGTTTTCAGGGAGGCGACGACGAAGCATTCGAAGTATTTTGCAATATATCCAGACAGCTTGTACATAATGAAATCGATGTTCCAGGGCACACGGTGGATTTCCGACCGGCGGCCACCCTCCCCCCTCCGTCCGTTCGGGATACGATTTCCGGGCGGAGAGGGGGTTTGTGCCCTCAATCCTCCATCCCAGACTCGCGCAGTTTTCTTTCATTTCGGATTGACATTCCCCTTTGCCGTCCTGACTCAAGAGTTCTTCATCTATAATGTCTCTCGGCTCCATCAGGGGAACAGCGGAGGACCTCATGTTCAGACCATGCCCGCCACATCCAGAAATCAACGATCCCTTCGGAAGCATGTTACCACGGCCTGCATCCCCTGTCGTGATGGGAAAGTTAAGGTAACTAACTCCCCACCCCCTCATCTAACTATCTGCGCGACTGATATTCTCTGCAACAGTGTGGTGGGGGGACCCCAACTTGTAGAAACTGCGCCATTCGAGGCAAGACCTGTCGCTACCGGCAAAGCGATGACAAACGGAAAGTCCCCGTGCGCCCGGCCGTGGCCGTGCTGGCACGCCGGGTGGACAGCCTTGTTCACCATATCCGAGAGTGTGGCCTACCAGTTCCACCCATCGATGAGGAGGACCATCGCATCCTGAAGAATGTTTTGGATGCCCTGGAGCTGCGATGCGAGGACGTGGTTGCAGATCCCAACGACACCAGCAGCCGACCAGGGCTGGCTAATATCCTGCCCACCACGCCTGTGTCCGTCAACAGCAGCGCTCCTCCCACCCAGCCGAATGAGACTGACAGCGTAGGGCCGTCTCACCAGCCGTCAGTTTGTCTGGAGCCTCTTGACCTCTCGTTTGACAAAGAACGGGTGGCGTGGAAAGACTCCACTATTTCGGAAGCGCCCAGGGAAGAAGAAGAAGAAGTAGGAGACAGTGATGACGAAGTCACCGACCAGCTCTCCTGTCGACTGGGACGATTGCAAGTAACTCACGATGGTCAACTTCGATATTTTGGCTCCACCTCCAATCTAACGCTCCTGGATGCGCTGGTGGATGTCACTCCACCCGTCGCCATTCCCCGAGATGCACCCGAGTTGCTGGAGAATGCAAAGCTCAACCAAGAAGTCGACGAAGCATTCGAAAAGCACCTAATTGATCTCTTCTTTGCCTGGCAGGATCCTAGTCTGCATGTTATTGATGCTGAGAGCTTCTGGCGGTCTCGTGCGCAGAGCCGTGAGGAGGGCCTCGCCACGCCGTACTATTCTCGAGCCTTGTCGGACGCCATGTGCGCTCTGGGGGCCGCCTATGAACCGAAATATCATCCCGACTTTGTCACCTTTCCCCGATCACTCGCCGAATTTTTTGGCGATCGGGCGAAGCTTTTGGTGGAACTCGAATTGGATAACCCGTCGATTGCAACCATCCAGGCCCTTGTGATTCTCAGCAATCATGAAGCATCCTGCACTCGGGATACCCGGGGATGGCTTTACAGTGGTAGGTTATAGCCCTTTCCCGACACGGGGACGAATTGAGACTAAATAAGTAAGGAATGGCCATGCGTCTCACATTGGACCTGGGGCTTCATCTCGAGATGGGTCCGTATGTGGAAAAGGGTATCATTCCTCATCAAGATGCCGAGGTGCGCCGCATGGTCTTCTGGGGTGTCTATCTCAACGAACAGTAAGTATATCTTGCCTCTTGTCATGGGTTGACCTGCTTACGAAGCAGGTTCTGGGGATTCTATCTGGGCCGCTCCGCCCAATGTCGGATGGATGCTGTCACCGTGCGGAAGCCCATGTCTCCGAGCCCGGTTCCTACCTCCAGCTGGAAGCCATATCCCGATCAGCTCGGGACCAGTTTCCCGCAAATCCCCTTCAACCCTTTGTGCCAGGAATGGGTCTCCCTTTACGAGATCATGCTCCCGCTTACGGATGTCTTGTAAGATACCGCTTCTGATTAAGAAATCTCCCTAGAGCTAATGGTTACTTGCCAAGATATGGTTGTTCAGAGATCTCTACTCACTCCCTGCAGGAGCTGGCTTCGGTAACAGTTGAGAAGCTGCAACAATGGCATCTTAACCTCCCAGTAGAGCTCAAGGCTGATGAAGGGACTACTTTCCGATCACCGCTGCCCCATGTTCTTACCCTGCAGTGAGTCATTCTAGAATAATTCACCCCCTTCCCTTGTGAGGACTAACAAACATAAGTATGCAATACTACCAGTTCATGATTCATTGCCATAAACCCTACATCTCCCGACGTCATATACAGCCCCAGCCTCCTCAAGGCCCGGGTTCAGGCCATGCTCGAAGAATGTGCATCGAATCTGCAGTGGCCATCGTTCAACTGCTGGACCTCTATGAGAGATCCTACGGATTTGACAAGTCAAGTATACAAATGGTTTCGTTCGTATTCTCCGCCGCACTAATATTGATTTTCAACACTATTCCCGCCAAGACCACATCTCAAGATCAACACCTGGTGATCCACCTCAGTACTTGCTTTAGGGCCCTTGACCGTATGGCCAGCTGCTTCGAGAATGCCCGACGCACCAGCGTCTTCCTGGGCACTTTGCGCCAACAATGGCAAGTGCGCCGACAGAAACGCCGAGCTCGCGCAGGCAGAGTAAACTTTGCTTATAGCCGTAAGCTGGACCTTTCGGAATCAGCGGGGTGGAACCGGGATGGTAGTGAAGCGTACTCAAGTGTGCAGTGTCAGCCTGCGGTAACAGAGAGTTCCGTCACGGGTCTGGACACTGAGCTTAGTGATCTCGTGCCATATTACTCTGCCATTGCCGACGCCCCCGCGTCCACAGTTGATTTCATGGGACCCAATCTCTGCAACATCCTACTCAGTGAAGGGATCCCTCGCGCATTCGTATAAGTGGGGATATATTGGATGACGTTTGCCCTCTTTTGGTATATGCCCGCCAATGTATCTAATCGTGTAGCTTAATGGGTGGATGCTCTATGAGGGTTTCCAGCAACATCCAACTGCGAATTCCAAGTCTCCTTGCCGAGTGGGTCAGGCATGCAGACAAGCGTAATGTACGTCGAAATAGCTTCTAATGCCTTTCCCACTCGGTAAATTTTTCCGATAAAAACACTACCTGCCTTCCAATGATGGGGCGGATTGTTGACGCCGGGAGAAAGGGGTAAAGGTAAAGGCTACAATGTTGTTCATTTCAGGATCCTCTGTAATGCGGTAGAAAACATGTAACAAGAGCCACCTTCAAGTGAAAGTAGATCTGCATGCTACTAGTGCAAGGTATTCGATGATGATAAACTTTCGGACTCTCAACCCTGGCAAAACGACAACAGCAGGTCGGCTCTTCCAGATTTGACTTCTCACATTTACTGTGAAGAAAGTTCGACTACTCAATGGGACCTGGCGCATGCGCTCGCTGCTGCTATATCGAGGCACATGCATATCAACACATGCAGGAGGCGAAAGGGTCAGACTCCCGCTCCCTGCAAAAGACTGGATTTGGATAGTACATCAGAAGGGGTGTTGTGCCAGGATCGAGCAAGATGACGCAAAGAAACGTTAAACTTGCATTTTTCTTGGATTACTGCAGTGGCTTTGTCCCTCAGCGGTAGCCCGCGGGCACTTGTCATCCCACACATCCCAGGTTCTCCCGCGTCTTTTCTGCTTGGCCGGTCGCAAAAACCCACAACCTATGTCGTATTGGTCAATGACATTTTTAACTTCTATTCCTGTACTCCCGATTGATATATCTTAATATAAGTAATGCTGAGCTGTTCAAGACATGGAACGAAAATCCACGGCTGATCCGACGGTTTCATGAGATAAAACCCAGGCATTACTGTATCTTCATCAACAACCGCTACATATTATCATCTGCGAAAATGGAAAACAAACTTTCACCGCAGGATGTCATTCTTCAGAAGTTATATGGTCATACATGCGTTATACCTGATCTACGGTCGTTTATGAAGAGTGAATCGGGGGGCATAAATAAACACCGAACCTTGTTACCGCTATGCGTTTATGACTATATAGATAGGTATGTGTCTAGCGTCCCCCACAGATAACCTGACCCCCCAGTCAAGCTGATGCCAGTGAGTCCCTCAGCCTCTTACCAGAAGATCCAGCCAAGGCGCAAAAAGTGAAAGGTGCCGATTTCCCACTACTAGCCTGCCTTTGGTGGCCCCATGCATCATTCAGAAAGCTGCGTGTGTTGGCGTTTCTAGTTGTATGGTTGATTGTCTGGGACGATGAACTGGACGGTGCCTCCCAGTTTACGGCGTACGACCTGAATATGGGTCAGCAATTTCGGGATGAAACACGTCGTTTTGTCAAAGCTAGTCTGGGACTGGAGTCAGAAGATCCCAACAACGTTACCAAAAATGCTATCATTCGAGGGTTTAGTCCGATAGCAGATTCTATTCGAGAGGAATATGATGAAGGTAGGTGAGCGTATTTGGATAAACAAGATATACGTACGGGGATGCTAACGCTGCATAGAACATAGGCTTACGCTGACAGAAGAGATCATTTTCGTTATCCACATGTCCAAGGTGGAACAGGAAAATCGCCTTGGGATGGACATACCTTCAACCGATCAATATCTTGCATATCGGCTTGGAACAAATCTGATGGGCGTGATCTGCGCTGCAACAGAGTAAGCCACTATTACTGATATGTGGCTAATGAGAAGTTAATATATGAATCTGAAAGGCTCTCCATGGATTGGCGAATTCCCCGTTCGATAACGCGTAGCCCATGGGTGAAGGACGTTTGGCACCAAACGAACCTCATAATCGCTCTGTATGTACACTCCCAATACGGCTCTGATGCCTCCTGCTGATCAGTCAATAGTACCAATGATATCTTGTCGCTCAAGAAGGAAATTGTCAGCCTTGAGTTTACTCGTATAGAGAAAGATAGACTGACCTAGACTTTTATTAGGATAAGGGAGAAGTATACAGCTTCATACCTGTTCTTCTCAACCAAAACAGAACACCGCAAAATGCAGTCGACCTTTCGATCCAGATACTTCAGGACTCCATTGCAGATTTGGACCGCATCAAATCTGATATTGTGGCAAGTAGTGACCAAACTCATTCAAAGTTTTTGGTCGAGTCTTGCCGCCGGTATTGCACGGGATTTCTCGAATGGAGGTTTGTGAAAGCTTGCCCAGATAATCGAACCAAATATAACTATATGATACAGCCTTATTACCCCAAGATACAAGCTTGCCACCGTGCCCAGAGATCAGACAGGGGCCATGGTATTATTGTTTTGAGACCACTGATATGTTGGAAAATTATACAATGCAGAAGTTCCACGCACTTCATGAAAATATAGGAATACCTTCTACACACGGGAAACTGACAGTAGAAGGCAAGGCACATATAAGCACCAGCTATCGTAGTTAATTAAATTTCTTCGGCATCTAGAATCTGTATTTTTCATTAATATCACCTTGGTCTTTCAAGATTTAGGCGTCACACGATTGAATTACAACAACTCGCTTGATGTAGAGCTTATACTTCTCTCAGCTGATGGCCACTGTGATTACTGCAGTTTATTTTGGACATTGACAGTCTACAGTGACTTTCAATATGGCAATTTCTGCTTCCTCAGGCCTTGGAGACATTGGCTTTCTAAACTCTATTCAACGTCGCAATTTTTATAAGAAAGACTTGAAGTACATGCATCTTTGTAAAGGTTGACCGAAGAAAGCGATGAACATATAGCAGGAATTTCAAGCGCACAATTCGAAAGAACAAGCAAGGATTTCAGTAGTGAGTGGTTTTGGATGTGATAGGAGTAGAAGTTGTTCCTTGCGCATTAGCCCTGACCTACCAAAACCAGTGACTTGCAGATCGGCAAGGCGTTCAACCCAAGAAAGTAATGGCCCGCACTAGGTAACTTGCAGCGCGCTCTTGCGGGTGGACTACCTGAAATGACAATTGCCTGGAAAAGATCGTCAAAATGCCAAGAGGTCGAACCTTACCATGAATGATGTGAATATTGACTGCTTGTCAGGCCCTTACCGGAGGTGATATTCAAAGTTACGTATACATTGACTAGATTAGGCTCGATATTCATATTCAGACTTTCAGCTAATACATCCGCACCACTCACCTTCATCAATATTGCCTCGCCGCATGTAAGAGGCCGATAATAGTAAACCGACCCATCCTATGACCGAGCCAATCCTTATTAGTATTCCAAGAGCCACGAACCCGCTCAAGCCTCGAAAGCATGTTAGTTGGTTGAAGGAGTATGTTAAAGTTCGTCAACATCGTAGATGGCATAATCCATCTGATATCCGATGTGGTTAGAACTCAAAATATGTAGCCGATCAATTGCATCACACACTCCAAGGGGCTTCAGGCATGGAAGGATTCTCGTGAGGTATTATGAATGACATCACACCACTGGCCTTCCGCAGTTCTAACAACAAACCTCTCATAATAAAGGGCGTCATTGCTTCAACTGGAAGGCGATGTGAGTCCATCATTTGCGAGCTGTCACTCTTGTGTGGAGGTCAAATCACACTTTAAGAAAGAGGAGTGGCCATATAATCGTTTTTTCTCATATCAATTCAGTTCAAGGTAATTTAACTACGGTGCAAGTCACTTGCCTCAACTGAACTGTATGAGAGGAGATTAGAAAGCACACAGACTTTCGTGGAAGTCACCAGGAAACTCTACAGGTAACTATTACTTCGTCAAAGACGACTCGATAGTCCAAATATGCCTACAAAGGACTTGAAAGTGGTCATAGTTGGAGGTTCCATCGCGGGTCTACTTCTCGCTAATGCCCTTGCTCGACAAGGTATTGATTTCATTGTCCTGGAAGGTAGATCGGAAGTTGCACCATGCGATGGTGCAGGGCTATGCATTCTATCCAGCGGTGCACGTATTCTGGATCAGTTGGGAATATTTGAGGATATCCAAGCTTATGGGGGACCGATTTCTGTTCAGCGCATCTGGCGAGATGATGGACAGCTGCTGGGGCACACCGAAACTTTGGCCTTAATACCAGTGCGGTACGTCGAAAGCATAGTCCCCTACTTCACACGTGGGGATCCTCATTTGTTTGCTGTTATGATAATTACGACAATACCATCGCTAAGACCAAGTCAGACAGGGCTATCCTGTCATTTTCGTTGAAAGACAACGAGTTCTTCAAGTTCTCTTTGAGCATCTGCCGGACACGAAACGCGTGCTTCTCGGAAAGAAAGTCATAGACATTACTGCATCAGACGACCAAGCTATAGTGAAATGCTTGGATGGCACTAATTACGAAGCGGACATAATAGTTGGAGCAGATGGAATACACAGCATTACACGCAGAAAGATGATAAGGGATATTATCAGCAACTGCCCACAATCGCACATTAGTCATGGGCAGCTAAGACGAGGTATTCCATCAGGCACCTATACATTGCCCAATGCTAATAAGTAATAAAGTGTTCACCGCTCAATATGCAGCCGTCTTTGGCCTCTCTAGGCCAACTCCTGGGATGAAGATCGGGCATTGCAACAGAACGTTCGCCGATGGGTTCTCTTTCTTCAATGCGGTAGGCAGGAAAGGGCAGATCTTTTGGTTCCTATATCGTGATATGGGAAAGGTATATTCTGAAAAGGATATACCTCGCTTCGATCAGAACAAAATCGAGGAAGACATTGCTCCCTTCCTCAACAAGTACGTTGCAGAGGGGGTGAGATTCCAGGATATCTTCAAAAACAGAGTCCAATGTGCGCATGTGCCTATTGAAGAGGGTTTCTTAACCCAGTGGGCGTGGGGAAGGTATGCATGCATTGGGGATTCAGTACACAAGGTACAATGACGATTCTACTACTGCGTTCCGCTCTAATCTCCAAACACAGACTACACCGAACTTGGGCCAAGGCGGAAACGGGGCGATAGAGAGCGCGGCTTCTCTTGCAAATACCATCGTTTCCATTGCTCACAGCGTCAAACTTGAAAGCCTGTCAGTACCTGAGATTTCGGCCTCTTTGGATGAGTGGGCCAGATCTAGACAGCGGCGGATGAAGCTCATTTGCGATTTGGGTAACAGTTTCACGAGACTCGAAGCATTTCATACGCTTAAAGATAAGGCTTTGGGTCTCTACCTTGGTAAATACCAAGTGGACGCGATTGCTGACATTCTGTGCGATACGACTGTGGGCGCAGAGAAGTTATCATTTCTCCCACTTCCCGAGAAATCGGCACATGTGACAATGCCTTTTGACCCAGAAAAAGGTATCCATGCTGCACCAAGAGTAAGGTCGTTAATGCTGCGTGCACTACTCCCCTTTATCCTGATCTTTGCCGTCCAGCCCACTGTGCGGGGTTTTATGAACAGTCGTATCCTTAAGCCCGTGTCTATCTCATACGAGCATGAGGCAGAAGCATTCGATTTTCTCGGTTACGATATCAATTATCAGAGTATCCAGGCTCTAGCAGCAATGTCTCGAATTGCAGATCTCGGGGCGATCCTAGGCATTTGGGCCTTGGAAAGCTGCAGAACAGGAAACGTTGCCACTTTAATGTCGTTGTAAGTTTCCTGTAGATACCCAGTAAATTCCTGGGCTTTCTAACTGTTTCATAGTCCATTAACTTTCTCCTGGATAATGGGTATTTTTGAAGGAACTAATATTGTAGTTCCATTATACTTTTTATTGTACGCCATACAGTCACCGGCAGCAAAATTTACTGCACCAGATCGTCGCAGCACACAAGGATCTTACACGAGATCCTTGATCCCGTGTCTCATATTATGCTACTACATTCCGGGATTTTGGATGGTGTATAACGACTCTGGGGTGCACAGTCGCCTTGGATGGAAATTCGTCCTTTTGTCTACTTTATTCCGATTGTCCCACGTCCAGGTAGCCTCCCTTCTGAGAAGAACAACAGTGAGAGAGCTTATAGAAACGCCAGATGCAGACATGCCTTACATGAGGATAGCTTACTACACATGCGGTTTACTATCTGGGGCTATGTCAATTATGTGGAGGGCTCTAGCATCTCGGTCGCTTTATGCGAGATCACTCCCGATATCACAGGTCCTGTACCAAACAACTTCCCCCATACACATCGACCATCATGGAATGACGGGGTGTGTGTGTGGTCTCGCGTGGCTTTTATTTGAGTATAAGGACATGAAACTCGCGAAAGCCATTGATCTGTCCTGGTCATGTCTCATTCTATTGGGCACACTCATAACTCTGGTTTTCGGGCTGGCAGCAGCTTTGATGCTAGGATGGGGTCTGAGAGAAGAGTACCTAGCAAAGTATGCCATTCAGCACTAAAAGATAGAAAACTGTCTTTGCAAACATAATGAACAACCGGAATGGTATGCTTCGGTTGCCACATTTGTTCAGTCTCAAGATATGCTGAATACGTAATAGCGATGGCCAGTGATGTTCCCGTAACTTCATGTGCGGTCAAGACAGTGAATAAAATGATGCCTTCTTCCTAATAGTCACTCTTTGTGTGCTTAGTACATATTACCTAGATGTCAGACCTGAGGTTCTATTTCTACTTAATATCTAGAGTAGATTGTCCAAGCGTAACATCACGAGGGTTGGTCGTTTAAAGACTGCCTGAGATGGATACGCTTTTTGGTTCAGGGAAGCGCCGATGCGTCGACCAACGCTGTAGAACTATGGACTCGCCGCCAACGCACTCTACTTGCTTGAGAGGCTCGAAATTGGCTTGAATAGTGAAGGTTAGAGTAACGGATACCTGGGGTTCTCGATCACGACTTCAGTAACATGACAATATCACGGATCATATGCACGTAGACCAGGACGGGACTGAAAGGCAGAAAGAGAAGCAGACAAAGGGGATGCCCCACGTTTGTTGGTTCTTAGGAAGGGGCTTCGTGAGCCGATGCAGCGTGCTGATGTGCCGAATGTCCCCTTTCATGGAATATCAAAAGCAAGGGTTCGATTTGCTGGTAACACCCCTTTTCGGTGCCTTGAGTTATGCGCTGAGTTTAGAAGCCTACATCTTTCTGTGAATTGTCTACTTGTATTTGATGTACTCGATTCGTAAGATGCGCTACTTCGTAATATTTCTAAAATGGATCAAAAACATGAAAAAGTCTGCAACTCACCTGACCGTCTCCTTACATCCTTTAGTCTCACGCTAGATTATGCCTACAGCCTTCCCGTTACTACGAGCTGCATGATGTGTAATACTGCGATATGTACTCTTGTGAGTTAGTGGCTTGCCAATTGCGAGATATATAATTAAAGGTATTCTAAGTATGCGAGGTCTCACATAGGACCCCATGATGCGGTTGTTTGTCCCTCACAACTACCATGTCCCGTTCATTTTCTGTTCCAGCTATGCGTCGTCCCCTTGTTGAGTGTGAAAAAGCACTAAACAGAGTATGCCAGAGGTATCAACTTTTTACTCCAACCAACTGGCAATTGTTATCTGTTGCGAGCGGTTTCCTTTTCGTGACAATCCTCTTTCTCGCACTTATAGCATGCGGCTTCATACCACCTCTTCCCCCATCATGGGGTGCCGACAAGGTATACAGTCACTATCACGGACACAGAAAGGGCATTCAGGCGGGAGCCGCATTGATACTTATCTCCTCCGGGTTATGTCTCCCTTATGGGGCAGTGATATCGAAGCAGCTTCGAATGATACGAGATGTAGACCCAATTCTGTGTGACTTGTCTCTCGTGGCTTGTGGGGTAGGGAGTGTCTCCTTCATGATGTCGTCGACATTCCTTGGACTGGCGACATTTCGGGATTACGGCCCAGAATTGACTTTACTTCTCAGTGACCTTTTTTGGTTCACCATCGTCATGCAGTGGCCGCCATTCTGGATACAATGCTGGACCATAACGTGGGCAATTCTCTCGGATAGAAGTTCAAACCCTGCCTTTCCAAGGTCCTTGGCCATCCTCAACTTTATTGCACCTTTGGCATTGTCCTCAGCTACAGCCATCCACCTCTATCATCGTGGGCCGTATGCATGGAACGGCGCTCTAAGCTTTTGGTTTGCCTTTGTTCTCTTCTTCGCCCAGATCGAGCTGGATTTAATCACCATCGGTCGGAATGTCCTCGAACATCGAAGGCTGGAATTCAATGAGCGGACAATTTGAATTATCACTAATGTGTCTGTTTTTGATTTCGAATTTTGATGCGGTGCCGCTTCCACAAGCAAGTGCGATCATAAGATGAGATGTGCTTGCCTGACCTTTTGTATTTCCCTGTTAATGTGTGACACAGCCTAAAAGCCATGATGTTTGTTAACTAATGATGATTCCGTCTGCTGTAAAGCTAGTTTGGAATGCTGGCCAATGCGTGGTTCTGTATGTAGTAAACATTGGCACCTCTAGCGTAGACCGGTGTTGCATATTAACACTTAAGCGGCCAGCACAGTAGGTGCAACTTGGGCTAATATTGCCCGCGCACTGGCAGCGGTAACGGCTCTACTGCACTTTAAGTACACACTTGGTGGATTTTTTATAAATGTGCTCACAATATTATCTTGCTTGCACGCCAGACGGCTGTATATAGTCAAATTACACAAAAGCTTTAGTGTATAGTCACATTTGCGGTCTCGTTGCCTGCTTTAATCAAGTGTGAGACGCGAGGAAGAACGCGGAAAACCAGGAGACAGCTCCGCGGAAGGGCTCCTATTATATAAGAGGTAGGATTCCCGAGCATTGGCATTCTTCGACTGGTTAATGGTCGTCAAACCCCGATTGAAGTTTTTGATGCAAATTGCAGTGCAAAGAACCGTTCCGGCAGTCAGGACCAAGGTCAAAGATGCAAAGAACAGCATCATACTCTTCCCAGCTGTGTTTGCCGAAGAGAGAATGACAATCCGGCTAATAAGATACGCGATTAAGGCAAGGTAGCACATCTGTCATATAGTGATTAGAAGGCGATGGAGTAACTCGATGGGACCATATTAGAGGCAGAGAAGCTCACAATGATAGCAACCGCACCAATGGTTCGTTCGCGCTGGACAAACCAGACACCAAGGAATATCGCAATGATGGCAGCGGGAATGATAACCATTGTAAGAGTATATTCTGGTTCCTTAAAATGCACATATACCAAGTCGTATTGTATGATGAAACCAATCAGAAAATAGAAGTCGAGCTTTATTAGTACGAGGAAAATCTGAGCTCACCTATCGTTAGCAGGACCTCCAGGATACTTTATGGGGAGTGGAACACGAAAGGGTCAATGTTACCTCATAAGCCAGGTAACGCATTCGAGTATCCAAGCTGCCGTGAACAGACTTGTAGATGGCCCATGAATAATGCCTATGGATTACATATGCAATTGGGCATAGAATCAGAGCGGAGAACCCTGTAAAGATACATACAAGGATCTCTGCTGGCTGAACCCGAGGCCAGACATTGCGTGTAGTATCCACCAAAGTCGGATACCCAAATCGTGTCTTGAACAGTCTCGCAGTGGTATCTCTCATCACGATAAATTGCATCACAGAATAGCCGAAACTGCACGCATTACAGATGCAGACTGCAAACAGAAGAATGTTATTCTTGTGATGCATTGCATCCAAGGATAGAATGAACTCGAACAAGCACGCGAAAATCAAAATGCCTAGGTTAATCGGTATCAAGTAGGACACCGGCACTTGATTGATTGTTGGGGTAACCCATTGCTGCCATTCAATAAGTATATAGCTGTTTTTCCTTGGTTAGGTGTGCTCGGATCTGCAGAAGTGGAAGGGCGTACACCTCGGAGATGATGGTTAAAGCTGCCTGTGTCAGCAACACGCCGCATAGCCACCATTCATACTTGGTCGTTGGCCTATACATGCTTCCGCATGAATACGATGGGCGAGCTGTGTTGACTGTTTCCATTAATTTCCTGCCAATAGATAGATCTTGCCGCCTTTTTTTACTTTTTTTTCCCTTTTCTTCCACGGCTTCCACGTGATAACGGTGGGCGCAAGCCACAACAGGCGGCTTGAAAATTCTCCAGATGATGGCCAGGTTTGTATGCGTTTGATTGGGTCGTAGGCAGCAGTTACGGGGCCGATATGGGTTGAGTATCGCCTATTGGTTCATAGTGAGACATGTCCGCGCACGCTTACACAAGTAGTTAGACCTTGCCAAGGCACTAAAGGGGATCCGAACCTTGGGCCATCTTTTTAATGGTTGGAGTCAGAAACTATCGAACCTGTGATTTTCAGCTATTAACCGCTAGATAGATCACCCATCCCCGGAAAGAGCGGCTGCGCAACGGGGAATAGTCTAATAGTTTGTCCCTGGTCTTCGGCAACGTTACCTTATCTGTTACGTGCCAAATTCGGTTTCACAAGTGCCTTTGCTGCACGACCGGATTCTCCTACTTCCACAGCTAGAAAAAAACAGGGTTATTGTCGGGGTTCTGTATACTTTCAATTGTCCAGGTAGCTTAGCATCAGATGACTTCATGCATCTTTCTTACACCTCTACTAACCCATCCACCGGTTTTAAAAATGCGAACAGTGTTCTTTGTGTCCGCTTCTCAAGGCTTAATGAACAAAGGGGCCAGGAACATCGTAAGGAAGGCCAATTAAGGTTCCATATTGGGGACTCCACCCCCTTCAGACTTGGCATATTCAGTATACAGAGTAGATTCGATTGTGGGCCACAGATTTGTTGAACTACCAGAACGGTATTGCTTAGACATGGTTATTACTATGTTACTCTTTCTCGACCCTGTGAGAAATTTTTAAACAGAGAGTCATTATCCAGAAAATGCAGGTGCATGATATTTGCGGCAGACACTCTTTAAAACTTGCTACCCCAAGCATTGGAGAGCTGAATGATATCTATCCCGATTCGCTTCCAGGCGTACGTGAAGATATGATTTTGTTTGGATACACTGTGCAATACTATATGGACACAAGGAACGGGACTTAACATTTAAAGGGAAACTGTTTAGGCTGCGACCATAGCTCAGATCGGCATCAAAGACAACCGGGTGAGAAAAGCCAATGTTTATGTCATGCCTTCTGGTCGGGGAATTTTCTCAGCATATCACCCAATCGATCAATAGGCGCAGACATGAGACCGACAACAGTTTCGTACGGTGGCTGATCAGGGGCCGCTGGATGGCTCCGAGTCGGGATAAAATTCTTGGTGCGACCGAAAGAACGCGCCATGCTTTCGGAGGCGGAGTCACCGAGAGCGCTTTCAAGAGCCGGTAGATCTTGGCTTTCTTCCTCTTTGATGTGCTGCTCCAAATTGGCCCACAGGCTTTTGAGGGTGGGGATGAACTCGGTATCATCCGGCTGAAGGCCTTGGAAGGTATACAGAAGCTCCTTAATCTGCAGTGCCAAATTGTTCAGTTTGTTTCAAATAACAACGCAACAAAGCGAACGACAGCATACCACTTGGTGTTCCTCCCTGTCATGCTGCGCCATGGCCTTCCCGTTGTTCAGCTTTAGCTCCATTTCGGGATACACGACCAGCTCCTCGCCGATGGAGTGGCGAGCCAGCTCCCAGGTGAATTGGTTCTGCCATCTGACCCTGTCATCATTCGTTTGAGCACTTAAAATCTGATGATAAGCACCCCTCAGTTCCTGATGGTCGTTCTTGATGAGTTCAGACACGCGAATCGCGGCTGGGGCAGTGATCCGGAAATCACGCTTCGGTGTCCGAACTGCTTTGGAGAAGAGGGAGGCCTCTGGTCCTCTAAATGATCTTCTCGCACACAATGCAAACGACATTCTCGCGCTGTCTGATCGGCTCATAGGATGGCTTGTAGGAATCAGCTCAAACGGGGAAGCATTACGGTGTGTGCACAGTCACATCGTTCTTGAGTTCGCGGGGTACAGTGCAGAACCGGTTTATAATGCCTGAGTTCCGCATTCTGGACCAGCTCGAAAGTATGACACAAGCGGACAGCAAATATTGATCGCTGGCCACAGTGCAGCCAGCCAACAATGGTTCAGCAATTAATCATGGTTTGTTTGCGCCTCAAAAGGAGAGCCTGGTAGTGGCTGGCATGATAGAACAATGACATAGTGCAGACGTCCCAGTTGCAGCGGATCGTGGTTCTGCCTGTTCCGCCAATGGTAGTCGCAAGGGATCATTCCCATGCGAAAAGAACACTGAATAACAGGCTTGTTAACCGCTAGATTCCCTGGGAGATACTTGACGGCCCCGTTGACGCATGCAGCCTGGCCACAGCCACCCAGTCGATTTGCTCATCACGACGACAGCCTTCCCAGAGTCTAATCGGGGTGGAAGTGCAGGGAACCGTAACTCTATTTTGCGTGAGGTAACTGTCCATGGTCGGTCGTCATGGCTTGAGGCCGGAACCGCCCGGAAGCAAAGGTCTGGAGGGAGTATAAGAAGATAACTTGATACCAGCACAAAGACAAGGTAAGCAGACGACAGTAGCAACTAAGACTGATTGATTGGGCAAGACCGCAAGCAACAATGGCAGCGCATCCCTTACAAGCGTTGGGGGAAGTGGTGGGTGCCGCGGGCGCCGATCCGCGCATCAAGCAATTGAATTCGCTGTTCCAGGGGGCCAACGACGGGCCCGCCCGGACAGCAGCCAAGTTGACGGGGGTCCAGCAGGGCGGCAAGCGGAAGGATGATGGACCTTACTTCACCAACAATGAGGGCATCCCCTTCCCCGATCCCGCTCACAGCAAGACGGCGGGTGGCCTGCCTTTGGTCTCGGACACTTTTCTGCTGCAGAAACAGCAGCAGTTCAATCGCTCGAAGAATCTAGAACGAATGGTTCATCCCTGTATGTACTGTACTGCCTTGTCGGAGGGTTCCTCTGCGAGTCGATCGGGTAACTGACCATGCACACACAGGTGGTAGTGGAGCTTTCGGATATTTTGAGACTACCAGAGATGTCTCCAACCTAACAAAGGTGTATTTAGTCTACCCTGGCCTCTGATGAGATGACTGTCTAGAATGAATGAAGCTAACCCGGACAGGCCGACTTTCTCAAGTCATCCGGACTTAAAACTCCGGTGTTCGTCCGCTTTTCTACCGTGACTCTCGGTCGGGAATTCCCCGATCTGGCCCGAAACCCACGTGGCTTTGCCATCAAGTTCTACACGGGAGAAGGAAACTATGATATCGTGGGTCTGAATTTCGTATGTGATTTGGCCATTCCTGTTCACGCTGTTCATCTGGCGCATCGCTAATCCCCTTCGGATCAGCCGGTATTCTTCTGCCGTGATCCTATTCAGGGCCCCGATGTGATCCGGTCGCAATCTCGCAACCCCCAGAACTTCCTCCTCGACCACAACTCCCTCTTCGATCTGTTGGCTAATACACCAGAGGGGTATGTCTGGTCTCACACTGAGAAAGGTTATGTGCCATATGGCTGACGAGAGACAGAAATCATGCGGGCATGATGTTTTTCAGTAACCATGGAACACCAAAAGGATGGAGAAACAACCACGGCTACGGCTGTCACACATTCAAGTGGTAAGCGGTCCGACATGCATTTGGGCGTACCACTACTAAACACGTATAGGGTGAATGGTGAGGGCAAATTCGTCTATATCAAATATCATTTCTTGGCAGACAATGGCCAGAGGCAATTCACTGCCGATGAAGCTCAGTACCACGGAGGGGCCGATCCCGACTGGTCCAAACGCGATTTGTGGCAGGCCATTGAGAAGGGGGAAGAGATTACCTACATGGCACACGTGCAGATTATGCAGCCCGAAGATGCAGACCCTGTGAAGCTGGGCTTTGATCCGTTTGATGTGACCAAGGTGTGGCCGAAGAAGCAGTTCCCGGTAAGTCCAATATCCCTTGTCTACTCTGGACTCTTCAGGTTACTCATCTATTCGACTAGCTTCATGAATTCGGTAAACTCGTCCTCAACAAGAACCCCGAGAATTTCCACCGCGATGTTGAACAGGCGGCGTTCTCCCCGGGCAGCATGGTCCCTGGCATTGAAGACAGCCCTGACCCATTATTGCAATTCCGCATGTTCTTCTACCGCGATGCCCAATATCACCGAATCGGCATCAACCTCCACCAGATCCCGGTGAATTGCCCTTTTATGGCTTCATCCTATTCATCCCTTAACTTCGACGGTCAAATGCGCGTGGACGCCAATCACGGCATGAACCCACAGTATGTCCCAAACAGCTTTGTGAACAAGTTCCGACCAGACGTTGCGGAGGCGCCTTACCAGCTGGCGGACAACAATGTCGGACGCAAATCCCATTTCTACCACGAAGGGAAGGCTTCGGAATATGATCAGCCACGGGCTCTTTATCAGCAAGTGATGGATGAGCGTGCTCGCAAGCAACTGCACGATAATACTGCTCGGCTCCTACGACTCGTAGAGTATCCATTGATCCAGATCAAGTACCTGGCACAATTGTACCGCGTCGCACCGGAGTATGCCAAGGGCGTCTATGACCTGCTCCCAGAAAAGACTTTTTCCTTTAGCGATGTCGAGCAACGCGCTGGGGGTGCGGAGGCCGCCATGAAGGAGCCCAAGTTCCGTCCATGCGCCCCGACCGATAAATTAGTCGGAACGTGTCCGATGAAGCCTGTTTACAATGTGCGAGTTTAGCAGACTCCATGCCTACGTTGATTCCAGGAGCCAGCTTCTCGCCCGATTTGTGTCTTTTGTAGTGAAATTTTGTATTGACAGATTATACTGTCAAATATGACCTACTACAGACTTCCTTGTGCCATCCTTCACAGGGTGGATACTGCGAAAAGATATATATATTAATGCTAGCAGTGCTAACCACACCATGTCCCTACCAGCCTCGAGGCATCCGTTGAAGTATCCCGAATCGTTGGGCCAAATAAGGGCTTAGTAGTATTACTAGCAGTAATGTTTCTTCAGACGCTAGCCCCATATCGTTGGTAAAGGTGTAGTTAATCATCTGCATGGTCTACTCTAACGCTAGAAAGTGCGAATGATGACGCCGATCGATACTGTCTTTGGATAGCATAGTGAGACACACACGCCCGAGTGATGGACTTGCCCCACTAATCCAGGCAGATTCAGATCGTCCGAATCATCGTCCCTTTTTCTTCTGCAGTGTGTTCATATTCCCCTCCAACTAGCAAGCAGAATACTCACCACAAGTCAAGATGCCGGTTACTTTGACTACTTCCAGCTCCAAACCAGAGGCGTGGGGTGGAGCCAAGGCAGACACGGCGGAATCTCTCTTGGAGGAGTCCTGTCCAGAAAATGCCCGTCGCTGCAAACAGCTGTTCCAGAGCTCTTTCACCCCGCAACAACTCGCAGAAAACCACATCAGCTCCTCTTCAAATGGACTTGTCCATGCCGTGTACCGGGCATATAGCCACCACCACCATCTGACCCTGCGACCCGAGGACGTGTGGTTCGCCATCCTCTCCCAACTGAGCTTCTACATCAACGAACATGCCGAAGATTTGCGGTCGCATTTCGTGGCCCATGAAGGCAAGGAGGAACTTTCTGTCAGGGCAGTGGGGACAATTCATTCAGTCGACTTGGGTGCATTGGCAGTTCAAATGACCGAGGAAATTCAAAAAAAGGTCGTGGATCCCGAACTACGGACGTGGCTCATGCCGGCATTCAGCACCACCACCGTCAGTGACCAGATTGTAGCAGCTGTCCTGATGATGGGTGCCATGCAGCAATACTTCTCCTATGCGGCCTATCTTATGTGTGGGATCCCCAGTGTGACGTTGTTGGGAGAGCGGGAAGACTGGGTACAGCTGCTAAGCAAACTGGACAAGCTCCCCGACTTGGGTGCGGAGCCCGCTCAATTTGCTCGCCTTCTCCGACCTGTCCTGCACAGATTCATTATCTCCTTTGACGAGCCCACTTCAGACTCGGTTCGGGAATTCTGGGGCTTATGCGCAGATCGAATCTCTGGCGGAAGCGGCCCCTCCTACCTCTCGGGATGGATTACCGCGTTCTGCTACTGGAATGAAAAAGGTCAGCCCATGGACAAGGGAACGCCGGGATGTGAATTGGATGGTGTCCAATTTCATCGTGTCGACTTCACGGACATCCCCGGCGCGTTCGCCTCAGTCCCTATGAAGGTTAATGACAATGGCACGGAATATGAAACGGAACTAGTCGCCGGAGTAGTAGGCATTCATGCAAGCTGTGGTAGACAGACGATGGCTGCTGTTGGAGATACAGATGCCCGGCACGACATGATCCAGCCGGCTTCGGGGTGGTGGATATATGAGAAGGAAGCTGCTGCAGAGAACCCGGAATGAATCCACCACCGCGTGGACTTGGTAATTTGCTTAGTATACATCAAAGCTTTGGATGATAGGTCATTCGAGGATACCATACCCATTTCATAACTTCTCATTCATCCCCCTTTCGTAAATTGTCGATTGCAGGCCCAATAAGCACGAGGTGGATGCCAACGATTTGAAATTCCACCTGCGCTATGGCCTAAGCACGGCAAGGCCTATGCGAATGTGAAGGAGGAATTCTCTTGGGATCCGGATGGCACTAAGGACATGCCCTAGAACGTCCTCGCAGGGCCTCAATTGTGCCGGTCGCAGCTTCAAGGGAAGTAAAAGATAAAATAGCAGGGCCGATATTCAATATATTAAAAGAATAGATTAATAATTACATAAGGATTTGACTGCTGGAGAGAATTTATAAATGGTTTAATAGCTAAATCAGCCAGTGGAATATGATAAGGCTCTGGTAATATGGCTTCAGGGTCTCGGCACATGCACCCAGGCTCGATTATTTCATCGATATTTTCTCTTTCAAATAAAAACTACTTCTTGCAGTATCTAAGAGTACCACAACTTGGTCTAATATACATGATAAGGAGACATGATGTTTTAGTAGTATATACCGTAGTTATGTAACTCCTTATAGCTTCTAATCAAATAACGGAACCAAACACTGACTGACAACCTATCCCACCGTCATGCCCCCATTGATCCTCACCGTCTGCCCGTTAACCCACAAACTCTCATCTCTCGCAATAAAGGCAACAATATTCGCAATTTCTCCGGCTTGCCCAGCCGCCCACCAGGCGCAATTTTACTCTGCATCTAGACCAACTGCTCCGTCTTGCCGACGAAGTATGCATCCGTCCCAATCGGCCCGGGCGCAATCGTGTTCACTGTGATCTTGCGCTGTCCGAGGTCCTTCGCCAGTACACGCGTCATCTGCTCAATGGCTCCTTTGCTGGCTGTGTACAACAGATAATTAGGAGTGACCATGCTAAACGCAGCCAGGGACGTCGAGAAAAGTATCACGCGCCCTCCATCCGGACAAATAGATCTATCACATTACTTATAACCTAGCAGTTCAGATTATAATATGAAATGGATGTATATATACTTAGTTCTAAATGCCACCGAGGCGAGTCCGAGGCGAGTCTACATCATAGGGGTGCCAGTTTCCGAGTTTCGGTCTATTATAGCGATTGAGGCTCTTCAGAGGGGTTTTATAGTTTATAGCATTGGTACAGTTTATTCCTATATAGAAAACAGAGCTTCTGCTCCGACATCCAGAGCCTATCACGGGGCGAGGGGCTCAGAGATCATAATAGAAGCTCCGGCTCAACAGCCCAAAACCACAGTTGGCCTTACATCTCAGCCCCACTCGAAGAATCGTCGTTGGTAACTCCGCCAGAGGAAGTAAGGGTGGCAGCCCAAGTAGCACTGGTGTCATGGCTTGCAGTCACATTAACTCCAAGTGTGATCCAACCAAAAACACCATCCGCGATCGAGTCACCTAGCAAAGCATACTCGAAGAAGGGGTCAGAGTTGCTGTCCTCCGTCTCAACCTGAACCACATGATCATCGGCATTCTCAGTGATGGAAACGGTGTTGGTGTTGTAAGGGTAGGTAGCCTCGACCTGTGAGATCAAGTCTTGGTCGAAGAAGAGCTGGCCGATGTGAGGGATATGGCCTCCAGTCAGCGTGTTGTTTGCGAGGACCTGAGCGCCCACGTGCGCGATGACATGGACGTGAGTTGCGCGACCCGAGTAATGTCCAGGGAAAACTGTCTTAAAGCCCGCAACACCATCCGAATCGGTCTTTTGAATGCCACGGAGAAAGGTCTTGTCAAGGTTGGAAGAGTCATTGCCGTTGCCGTTCATGCTGCTCTGGACTCCGGAGTAAACTCCGGTTGCATTGCAGTTCCAAACGTCCCAGTAGAGGTCCTGGATGGGTTGGCAGGTGTTGATGTCGATAAATTGGCCGTCCATGAAGAGGGGAACACCTGGTTCACCGTCGGAGACATCATGGCGGATAAGCTCGCCTTTCACCCAGAACGGTCCGACCTCACCCTCCGGAGCTAGGATGCAGACAGGGTCCTTCGAGAAAAGCTCTGACTCCGGGGTGTTGGGTGTCACCTGGAGGGAGGAATGGTGGGAGGTATTTACCACCTGCTCCGTATCGCGGAGACCCAAGGAGCGCTTCTTATACGTCTCAAACAGGGCTGCGCGGCGAGAAGCAGCTCGTTCAAGCACGCCATTTCTCTTGAGTTGTCCAGCACACTGACTCAGACTTCGGTGGGCGTTGTTGAGGAAAGCTCGCTTGGAAACCTCGGTAAAAGAACTAGGTTCATGAACTCCAGGATGCGCAATAGCGAGGCCGGCCAGCGAGAGCACGATTGCCTGCTTGAGCTGAAGGATTTGCATATTTGGAGTGAAGAAGAAGAGACGATTTGTTAAACAACTGATTCAGTATGAGATGCACTGTGTGCTGGAGACGGTATTTGAGAGTGACCAAAGCCATGCTTTATATATGTTGGACCTCTCAGACCCGGGATGTCTCTCATCCGAACGCAGTTCCGATATCCGCGCAATTTTCTCTGCTCGATATTGTCACTGCGGCACTGGAAACCGTTCCAAGGCCTGCAAACGCGTCATCGTCATTGTATACCGTCTTGGCTGACCTCTGGTGATGTATAGAAGCCTCTTCAAGAGTATCAAAGTCGGTGGGGTAGGAGGACAGGCGGTGGACATCGATTGCAATGTATCTATCACTAGTATCAAGAAGAGGTAGCTGATGAAAAGCAGAAATGTGATTGAAGGAGCATCTTGGAACTGAGTGGAGTCGGGGTTCACTTGGCTCTTGGCAGCTTCCGCGTCTCGGCTCCTTTTCCCCAGGATCGACACTTTTTCCTTCCATCTTGCATCTTATCGGGAACAACCATCATTTCTAGCCCTGGCCAATGCCGGCACCATGGTTGCCGCTGACTAAGACTTGTTGCGTGTGTCAGCCAAGGTGGAATCGAGAAGCTGATGACAGAGCAGTTTTTCCCCAGGAACCGCCAGAGTTAGGAGTATTGCAGTGTGTCTATTCGCGTTCTGGCCCGCTCCAAATCTTCTCCCACTAGCATGGATGGTGAACCTTCAGCCCAGCGCCCTGGTGGCCGAGCTCGCAGTGCGTGTGACCTGTGCCGTCGCAAAAAGGTACGTAAACCCATCCAAATGAATGTGTCCTCTACTTCCTGCAAATGAGGTTCTACGGAAATGAATTGTTAATGCTAAAGAACTAACTATACTAGATTCGCTGTGACAACGCCCAACCAGCCTGTGAGACATGCTCTTTTGGGGGTGTGCAATGCACCTATACAGAGCACCCTAGCCTGCTGCAGAAAAGCCTCCGAGAGTAAGTACCAGTGCATGCCCCATACTTGTGCGCTGACAGAAATACTAGTCAACTCCTCGATGCCAGAGCACGAATAAGAGAACTAGAAACCCAGCTGACTGTGCGGGAACTCTCGCCTGATTCAGGCCAGAGAGAGCATGGTACTTCCAACGAACGATCGGCAACTACACGGCTCCCTTTGTTCGCTGTGGACTATCTTCCAAACACACACAGCATAGACGCGTCGCTTGCAACGTTTCAAGCAGAGATCGCCCATTGTGGAGTGGGAGAACCTGGCTCCACCAAAAGAGCGTCCTTTTTCTCCACAGTCTACCAGAAAACGGGGGCTCAGCTTGATCTCGATCATTTCCTAGCTTCTGCTGCACGATCGCTCGGATTCCGGGGGCCTCAGAGCAGGTTAGGCTTGAATCGCTCGCTGTCGCCAACGTGGCCCCCCAAGCCTTTGGTACAATACTCAATCAATTATTACTCCCGAAGCGGATTGTACTCCATCTTTCCGGTTGCGAACGCCGATGCGCTGAGTCAATTGATTGAAGCGGGTGTACTAGATCATCAAGATGACACTGTCTCTGCTTCAAACTTGGCCTGCTTGTCTGCATTCACTGCAATGATGAGTGTGATGCATCGACTCGGCCCGGAATTCGTCAATGCTGAACCAGATGCCTACATACAGGCGGCGCTGGGCCTCCTCCCTAGGCTGTTGATGGAAACGCCCACTGTTAGAAGCTTGGAAGCTGTTGTGCTGATCGTATGGCCACTTACACCTTGACCCGAAGAATTGTGGCTGACTTCACAGATGACCTATGTCATGCCCAGTGGGAAAATTGAACCCGGGCAACTGCTACTGTCTCTAGCTACTCGAATGATTCTCACTCTTGGTGCGCATCGAATGTCTGTAATCAGCCAGCCAGAAGGCAGGCATCTCCGGGCCCTGTTCTGGTTCTGTTACGGGGCTGATAAGAACATGATCACACGGTATAATCAATCACCGCATTTCACTGACAAGGACTGCGACCTCCAAATACCAGACAATTATGTCTTGTCATCATCGGACAATCAATTCTTCTCGAGGCCTCTTTCCAACAATGAGCTACTCTTTCCTTCTGACGTCCGACTTTCACTGCTCAAATCAAAAGTGTACCACCTTCTCTACTCCCGCCACGCTCGAGCCCTGCCTGAGGCCCGTCGCCTTCAGTATATCCGGGAATTAGATCAGGAGCTTAACGACCTGAAATGCACATTCCCCGCTAGTTGCTGGCCGGACCTATTTGCAACACCGTCCGCTCCCAACTACACTTTCCATGACCTGAGTATGCGTGGGGTGTGCCTGCACCTGGAGTTTTACTTTTTACTAGGCAAGATCCATGAAGCCAGTCCGTCGTTGAAGAGTAATAGCAATAGTTCCAGCTGGTCAATTCTTCCATCTAGTGCCGAGCTGTTCCATCAGGAATCTCGGTCTATTCTAATATACATACGTCATGTTCGTGAGTTTCTGAACTGGCATACTTTCTGGTACCTCTCAATCCTTGTGTTCGTTGAAAGTCGCTAATGTTGTTTCCTCAGGATCTATGCCCAGTTCTTGCTGACAGGTGTCTTCTCCCTTTTCAAGTGTATCATCAGTTATCCTACCGCGTCTTCATATGAGAACGATATACAGCTCCTGCAGAGCTTAGTGGACATGTTCGCTGAATTAGATCATAAGGAGTCAGCAAGCACGAGGGGACAGTATCCTCCCTTTTATTTCACAGTCTGTCTGATCAAAAGACTTATCTTTCTTGCCAAGCAGGCTTCTGGAAAGGCTACTGAGTGATACTTGTTCATTGACACTGAGTAGGGTGACTTTTGAAACTGCTCAACACAGTATATGACGAAATTATGCCCCTCTTTGCAGAATATTTGGCTTTTGATTCCTTACTTTGACGTAATAGTCATCATGAAACCCCTTTAAGATTCATCGAAACAAAAACTTTGGGATTGGAATAGCCTTTTGTCCGACATCCGTACATTTTTACTATGGTAAATCTGCAGTTACACGATGTACTTTTCACGTTTCTCAACAAAATCTGTCGCACCGGGTAGGCTACGGATAGTGTTGTTATCCCGACGCATTGTTTTCTAACAACAAGTCACTATGCAATTTCAGTGGATATTGCTATGTAAGCCCTCGAACACTCTATGAAATAGTGCAGGTAAGGAAGATTGAGTCTTATGATAACTAATTCTAGACCTATATCTTCAGCACTCTCACGGCTGCATCTTAACGCATGGTAGGGTCTGATGTGGCGGTGCTCCACTTGGGTCTGCCTATCCTAAGTAGTACTAGCACGCGTTCTATCTGATTTTATTGAAACCGAATCTTAATAAATGTGTGGATCCTATGGGGTCCATATCAAAACGTGATGTATCCAAAATAGCCACACACACATTAAATGAATTGTTCATTCTTGGATGGACCTTCCACGCTATCCCTGCAGCCGCTACAGTAATAACGGCTCCCCTTTGTACTGCGCCCTTGGTCGTCGAAAACGGCACGATAGGTTATCTAGTCGTCGAATTTGCCCCCGGGTACGGAACAGCAGATTATCGGACTCACAGGATCGATTACCGCATTGTAATCGGCGGCGCTATTGAATGGAAATAGATTCGAGCTCTACGCGTACCATACGCCCCGGTGTCGTGGTTGTCCAGAGAAGTATAATTGGATTTTTGGTACAATTCAAGCCCCGAAGGGTATCTGCAACAACCTTCCGCGATGCCACATAAATTCCAATAAATTCCTTTGTTTTGAGTGCATCAGACCCCAACATCTTTTCTCGTGCGTTCATACATCTTCTCAGATGGTCATGCACGAATCAGAACAATCCCAGCCGTGCCATTTGCGACAACACACTTTCAAGGCGTGCGATCGGTGCCACGAACAGAAACTGAGGGCTTGCTTACTTTCTGCTTTGTTTATTGTCTCACTAATTGATGGGATTACAGAATGATAGTGCCCTGGCCGTGTATCTGCTGCCGCCATGCTGGTCACAAATGGGAGACCACCGATCGGCAAGTTTATCGCTGTCGGCAGGACTACGCACACAGCGCGTCTCTAGCATTGAGATTCAAAACTCTGGGACAGAACAAGCGTGCAACATCTCACATAGCTCTACCCTGCCAGGCTTGAATGTAATCTACCCGGAAGGAACACAACTGGGCGAAACCACCTCTTCCATCGATATTGCTCAGCGTATTTTTGATGAGGAAGAAACTGGACGCGTTCGAACGGACGCCACTCTTCCGGGAGATGTGGCTGCTTCTAATCCCAACCTTGGCGACCTTACGTGGCGCCTTAAGAAGATCAAATTACGCTCATAGATGCCTACTTCCAGCGGATGCAGTGGTTCATATTGTTGTTTGTGGAGCCAGAATTTCGAAATTGTGCCCAGAGAATCATCCCAAACCACCAATGGCACCGCCGAGACCGAGGTGCGTGCATAATATTGACCCTCAACTACTACTTGACGGCTTGATTTCAAAGATACAAGTCTATTTGCTGGGTCTTTTGATAGATTGCCCCATTGAAGCCGTCCAGGTTCCTATGCTTCTCTCTTGTTATTACGTCTTTCATAATCTACGCCTTGTGTAGACTGTTCTGGGAAGGGCTATGAGAGCAGCATACAGCATCAGAATGTCAGACACATATCCTGTCACAGATGAAATTAAGACGCGCTGCTGGAACCCCTGGTGACCTGGTCTATGTTTATGATAACTTGATAATAAAGAGGTCATATGATTTATATCATTATATCGCTAAGGTCTTTATATTAGTTACATATTTATATATTATTAATAAGTTGAGAGGAGTGTAGATCTGTTTTGAATGATATCTTATCATTGAAATTGTTATAATGAATATAACGCCAGTGGATTAGGGGCCCGAGTATCCATCTAAAAGTGGTACTACCTGATGGGTTGTAAGACTCGTTGCGTCTTCCGACTACCCAAGCCCGAAGGAAACCTCCTGGAAAACCGATTTCGGAACTTGTTTGGCCGGCATAAGCTGGAGTCTCGCAAGCAGATTATTCAGGCTCGGAAAGCCAAAAGAGAGGTCACAGAGAAATGGGGTCAGAAGGACTTCAAAGTACCAGTGTTATAGTCATTTCCTGAATTGTCAAATTCATGGTAGAATCATCGATACATTACATAAGAGCGATATTTGAGTGTGTGAGAAGCTTGAAAGCTGATTTCCCCAAACAGGGGCCGTTGTTTGAAGCTCCACTTGCACATATTTTTGTTCTCATGATTCACTAGATGTTTATCTAGACACCAGATCCTTACTTGACGTTTTCTCACTCAACGTGTCTAGGCATTTGCCAAATGAATAAATAGTAATCAAATCATTTCTATTTTACAAGGTATGTACAGAGTTTCAAGATTGGCAACGAAGAGAAATAGAGCCACTCATGGGCCCGAAAGTGAAAAGCAATTAGTGAATTTCCCGACGTGCCACATCACCTAAATTAGAAGGTGGAGTCTCAGTTCCAGCAGACGTGTGCTTATGCAGCATCAGCAATGATCACGTCTGCGGCCTTCTCACTGATAATGTAAATAGGTAGGGCAATATAGTATCCTGGAATCTTAGGGAAGACTGACGCATCCACGACTCTCAGCCCCTTCACACCACGGACTCGGAAGTCCGAGTCAAGAACCGCTTTGGGGTCAGAGTCGTCGCCGATGGGCGCCGTGCAGCAAGCATGGTGGCCCCAGGCTTCCCGCTTGATAAAGTCCTTGAGCTTAGAACCAGCCGTGACATTAGAGCCCGGCCAGATTTCCGTAAACCCGCCATCCAGCGGCACCAAATCGCGGAAGATCGTGCGCGAGAATTCCATGGCGTCGTGGACAGCCTGAAGGTCCTTCTCGTCAACACCGTCCGTTGTATTTCCGGTGTCGAAGTAGTTGAAGGTGATGACTGGGGTATCGCGAGGGTTCGTCGAGCGCAGCTCAACAGTGCCAGCGTTGTTACGGCTCTGCGCCTTCAGGGTGATCCAGGTCCAGTGGTTGGACTCTTTCAGGCCCTCGTACGAGTAGTTGGGGTAATAGCCGGGGAATTTGACAGGCGCGCCAGAAACAAGGAGGTCTGGTGTGTCGTCGGCGGTGGACGACTTGCGGATGACAGCAATAGCAATACCATTAGTCGTGTAAGTGCCCTTGAACAGGGTACCATTCTTCCATTGCTCCAGGCAAGGGTCGGGGCTACTGTATAGGAAGGTGCACTTCTCCGTGAGAACGAAGTCGGTGGGCGATTGGCCGATGACGCCCGTCTCGTAACGGTCCTGCAGATTGGAGCCAACGCCCGGCAGGTTGACCAGTGTTTTAATACCGTGCTTCGAGAGCTCTTCCTGGGGACCAATTCCGCTGAGCTTCAGGAGCTGGGGGGTGTTGAATGAGCCAGCAGCCAGAATCACTTCCCGGGAAGCCTTCACGCTGCCTGGTGTGCCTGGGGAAGACGTGCGGGAGGCCCGAGGGTCAGCACGGTAGAGGCTTTGACCGGTGAGATACTCAACTCCGGTGGCCTTTGGCTCGGGTGCAGAGGTATCAAACTGAACCTTGGACACCAGCGTGTTCAACTGGACGTCGAGGTGGTACTTGCGGGATCCATCCGAGTTCACTGCGTTGACCGTGTCCAAAATGAAATCGCGAGGACCCGTTCGTCTGTGTTCCGGAAGTTCTACAGCAAGAGGCACCTGGTATGGACCGGTCTCGTAATCACGGGTCGGGGAAGGGTTGTTGAGATCACGCAGGAGCACCTCGCCCAGGCCGGTGACGGTGGTGATGACCTTTTCCAGGAGGGATTTGCCCGCGGCTGTCGCGGCCGCGAGGATCAAGGAGAGGAGCTTTTGATCCTCGATGACCAGTCTCAAGTCTGTCAAGCTCGTCATGAGCCAGCCATCCATTCCATGGCCGGCCACGCTGCTGGGAAGATATCGATTCTTCTCCAGCCGCTCGAAATATTGTCTCATGTTATCGGCTGACCAGGAGTCATTACCGGTGATGCTGGCGAGATGATTCCAGTCATGTTCGTACGGATAAATAGTGCTGTTGAGGAACTCATTAGCGAACAGGTTAGCTGAAGCGGACGGCAAAGGTAAAACTCACATCATGGCGTTATGAGAGGTGCATCCTCCCAGGGTGCCAGCTCGAGGGTATAAGATACCCAGGGGTTCAGAGCCACCCGGCGGATTGAAGCCAACATGGAGATCTCCAGCAGGAGTGCGGTAGGTCATCTTGGAGTCCTCTTTCTGCCGGGTGAGGTCCGAATAATGGTGGACGAAATAATCCCATCTCATCGGCTCGTACTCGGTGGATTGGAGTTGGAGGGCGGGCACCTGCTGCACGGTGGCATTGCCTTGGTCATCTCCTGCGTCAAGGAGAAGAACCTTGTGTCCGGCAATAGCCAGCCGCGCTGCCACGGGGCCACCCCCAGCACCAGATCCAACTACGACATAGTCATATTCAGTCTCATCTGAGCGTTTATGGAGATGACTATGTCCATGTTCGGCACCGTGACTGCTACATCCTAGATTAGTCGCCTCTTGTGTAATAACAAGACGAAGGTCAGAAGATCATCGGTCATTGTACATACGATGCGAGAGCCAAAGAAAGAGCGGACAGTGACCCAAGAACCGTATAGAGATGCATGATTACTGAAAGACAACACGCAAGGAAGACAGACAGGCGAACCATAGAAAGAGCGACTTTCACCTGGACAGAAGAGTATTAAACAAGACAACCCATAATCTATTTAGACGAGAAGGTACCACTATGTGCCCTTCTAATAAAGGTCCTCTCAACAGCCCCCAGGAGCATTCCTATGAATGTTTCCGGGTTAACCCAGACCGGGAATGGAAAAACGGTGATCGACAAAGATGCTCGCCAGAGAGCCTGTCGTTACTTCACATATGATTGACCAAAAGCCCTTGCCCACATTTAGGGGAACTCAGGTGGCCCATCAGTCATGTCTCCCCAGAGAAGAGACAGTAATAGGAAGTCCGACCCTGCCGATCTGTCTGGCCAAGTGTGTCCAAGACCACTAATGGAGCCAAGACATGGGAACCCCATTATGCGGATACAGCGCCTCGTATACCGACAGAGAATCCACCTACTAGTGGGTCCCCTAAACTAATTTTCGCTTTGGGGTCCACACGGAAATCATTGCGAGCCACAAAGTTGTCAGTCCGTGGATTCCTTTCTGGGATATAAGACATCCTATTATGACCCGCTCTCGGGATGAAAACATTGAACGAGCATATCCCTTCATGGGATGTGGAAATTTCTACCCATTAGAGTAGAAGCATAATATGATTCGAAAAAAAGCGTTAGATTTTATATAGCCACGTGATAACACTGATTCTAATATCAAATGTTCATGAGCTAAATAGACTAAAATATGGCCTAATTAGTAAAGCTGTATTAAGATTGGCATGTTATATGCCTTATGAATCCAGAGATCCGTTACACGAAATCTTGTCACAAATGGTTAAATTACACTCTGTACCCCTATTCCCATGTCCATTGACTCGAATGTTGCTCGGACGGAGACGTATCCTGCAAACAATGCGGATTGAGGAAGGATTGAAGATCAAAATCTGTGCAATCTCGACCGAACTGCGACCGAACCTACAGGGGATGGCGGTAAGTGTATCAATCCCGTAAGGGATCAGAGACACGGTTAAGGACCGGCTGGGCACGATGTGGAGCATCCCAAGCAGCCAGCAGTACATTCTTTTCTACGTACTTTTCCGAAAGATCTCCATTTTCCAAATCGAGAGTGGCTTCAGTGGGCCGTTTATTGCTCAATCAAGGTTAGTACCCTTGACCAATGATGGTAGAATAATAATGGTGAGTCAAAACTCGACCTAGGGGAGAAATAATAACGGTTTGTCTGTATGTTTCCTACCAGTCCTGATCAGCAAAGGCGATGGCTCCAAAAGAGGCCAGTTACACACTAGCCGGTTGATGCCATTCTACGATGCGGCACTTAATATATAGCTATTAGAACTGGAAGCAGCTGTCAAGTACCTAATTGAAAACTGATATGAACTGAGCTCATTCGGGCCCGTCCTCTAACTAGTCTTCAAGTCTAAATGGGAAAGCTTAGCGGTTTGAGCGGAGAAAATAGAACGTAAGCACGTTTTGCACTCTCTACCTGCCGTGTGGGTATGTATGTCTGGAGACAGAGGCGTATGATCCAAGCCAGTGGGATGGCTTTTCTTCTTCTGACACCTAAGTATGGGCAAGCTCTTTCTAATCTAAATTCACGCATACACACACACAAAAAAAAAAAAAAAAAAAAAAAAAAAAAAATTGAAATTTGGGTTTACCCCTTTTCTTCACAATGCCAATGCCTAACTTTCTCACATCATCTGTACTAGCACAGTCGAATTCGCCAGAGTAGCTTCCAAGCCCTCCTTGCATAGTAGACTGGAGTTCAAACCCTTGCATTACCACGACATAACTCACTGAAATGAAGATTCTGTTGACTCCATTTGGGAAATATGAATCCTGAACAAAAGAAACTGGATAAAGATTGCAAGAGTTCATAGAGAGAACTCGTCGGTCGCTATTTAGAAATTAAAAATACAAGTAATACAAAATAAGAAAATAGAGAGTTGTGCCCCTTCCCCTTAACAATGAATAATCTCTTTTTTCTCATCTACCCCTTCGGGTTCGGGTGCAGCTCAATCAGACTGGAGTGGTCCATGTCTACAAGCGGTAGAAAATCTTGGTCATCATGCTTGCTCCTGACATGGAACGCCCCCTCCAATCGAGATCCTGTCCCCCGTGATGTCGAGTTCATTCCGGAGGATTTATTGAGGCTGGTATCGCCAAACAGCTTCGGTGCCGTTGTGCGCAGCAAGGATCGAATGGCGGGTAAACAGGCACAGATGACGCCCACATGGCATTCAATCGTACTCCAGTATCCAACTGTGACGTAGTCCCCTGATAAGTGAATTGTGAGTCAAATTTCAACGATGGATAATTCAATCAGCACTTACACGTCACATTGTCGGTGGAAGCAAAGTTGATAAGCGAATCCAGGCGCAGAATACTCACGACAGTAACACTGTTCAAGATTCCTAGTTAGCAATATCAGCCGTTGAGTGGGTTCCAAGAACACGTACAAGATACCCAAGCTAAACATGCACATGACAAAAGCCTTCTTCTTGATGGAAAGCTGGAGCTCGTAAAGCTGTTTCAGCGGGAGAATCATGACAATGAGGTCAAGGAGCATGTTGATGATTGCCGATGCCCACCCCTGCGCGTTAATATGGTTGCACTTGTAATTACCCTCTCCGTCCCAGTGAAGCCATGCTCCTTGGATTGGTCGACACTGGAAAATTGAAACCAAGACAAAGGCAAGTAAATATGCAATGTTGAGACCGATGACAATATAAGTCAAACTTCGGAAGTTTCTGGCGGGGAAGATACGAAGGTAGAAACAACATATCGAGATCTTGGTCATTGGCAGGATACTGAGATACAACAACTCATCCCAGAAGTAAATCTTGTAGTGTTCAAGAATGTCAGCTTTACCACGGACACTGGGGTAACATGGGAAACTAACGTATAGAATCCGGGTAACATTTTCAAACGGAAGAGTCCACATGTCTTTGCCTAAGCCCGTGTCGGCCACTGTATGACGTAGTCAGGGCATATGCAACATATATATTATAACCCACGGAGGTTCATACAAACAACTGATAGTGCTGAAAGAGGTATCACCAGACACTGTAATTTGTCAGTATATTAAAATATTAGTTATGAGAGTCCTGGGTATGTACCATGGTCAGTCCCATCGTCAAATCGTCCATCCCGAACGTACCACCGAGGCACTTAAACCTCGCGACTATCCGGAGAATAAATGCGATACATGCTATGACGAGACCGATGACTCCTGCATATGAAACAGCCTTGGTTCTATCTCGTACCGGAGCTCCGCACGCAGTGGATGTGACATTTTTCGTAGCTATCGAATCAGTGACTCTACTTGGAGAAGAAAGTACTTGCAACATACTCAACGACTCTTTGGTGGTACAGCTAGACACCACACATTCCTGCAAAAGAGCGGTGTAGGTTTCATCCGTACACTGGCATGTCTGGTCTGCGAGGGTACAGGACGTCTTCGGTATAGTGACAGCCATGCATTTCACCTACAAAAGGTCAGTATCGCAACCCCGGGGTAGTGATCATATCGCCTACCGCACATGTGGGCAACAATGCCCCCAGCTCTTTCACACTAGCAGCCGCTATAGTCGTTGATAGCAGGGCGACGCCCAGCGCTACTGCGCCCAACACACGCATCTTGATGGGCCTGTAGTGAGGAGCAAGAAGCACAGCAGTTGTTGGTGTGTGGCAGGCAGAATTGAAAATGACTAAGATTATCAAGATCCAATCTTTGCAGAGTCCATCATCCGCCCGTAATCGGCATCGAAGGTTCAGGCGCACCTTTTACATTGGTTGCTCAATACTGAAAATCTCCTATTTGGTCTGCAAATCCTCTCTGAAAGCAGTTGTTGTGAGTCGACATCTGGAAAGTCCAGAACTAGGAAAAGAACTACACTGGCTCTCGCTGACATCGTTTTCGAATCACTGGGCTGAGTGTCTATTAGGATGTGCATTTTGCAGCGGTAGCTTTCCGGTTCCCGTTCATCGCAAGCCCTAACAGATCCTAGAAATAATACCTTGAGTCCAAATGACCCGCTAATCACTGTTGGCGCCACGCCTCTAGTTTATATCCCGAGAGGGCCCAGTGCCGGTAGACGTTGGGGGAGTCCTCTCCGCAATCGGCATTTCGACCAGTGGCGTTCTAATCCTCAAGGTTAATTATCATCATTATGACTACGTAATCCGGTTTAAGTTCCGTGTGGGGCACTAAGCGCTATAATAGACTGCCACGAGTGTGGCCAACATATTCATTTACATCTCAGTTTGTTCACGTCTTTCTTACAACTGTTCAAGACCTTTTCCTCGCCCCATCCGGCCTATCTGCGCTGAAAATTCGAGTGTCATAATCCCCCTTTAGCGCTATTATAAATGTGGCTATAAAATCTTAATGATATTCCATGCCTTTATTGGGTTATTATCAGGCTCACCTTGGCCATTTTCATAGGATAACAGCTCCTCTTTCTGTACGTGCCATATCCCCAAAGGGTAGGTAGTTTCGTTGAGGCATGAGCTTACCATCCACTGTACTTTATACCCAAGCTAGATAATTGAAGTCCATATTGTTTATTGGCTTGCAGCTGTCCCCAAGTGCCCCACGCCGTGTGTGATGGACTGAGAAATATTCAAACCTTCTTTTTTCGGGAGGCTCTTAATTGCCCCCTGCCGTAGCATGCCAATTTCAAAAAAAAGGCCACATGGTGTGACTCGTGCCAGTGTCGAGGTGGAGCCGGTCCCGGACGGCATATGACCCTGAATAAGTTCTTCGTAGCGTTTTTTGCCTGATTCTGACAGAGTAGCTCGGTGAAATTCCGTCCTCGAGGCTATTAGAGCATCTAGCGCCACTAGAGCATGATGAGCCCAACGTGAACGGGCCTAGTCTCGAATAATATCTCCGTGTGTTAGCGGAGCCAGCTTCTTTCCAAATTGAGAAAGTGATCTATCATTTTAAGCCCATTGGCAATCCGGCAGTCGTACAGATAGGCTTAAGGTTTGACATCTTCGGGTTGGTGAGACAGCCTAGTGGACACAAATCCACAGTGCGGTGGATACGCCAAGGCCTAACGGCAGACCCTAAAATTTCCGACTTCATCAAGGTGCACTACATAGCACTAAGGATGTTAAACCTTGGCGATAGCAGGCACTGGACTGCCCCTGACAGTATGCCGGTGTGGACAAATTCCGTCTTGACAGGGGGTTCGCCAATGGAGACGATTCCCAGATAACCCAAACACTATCCAGGTACTGGTCTACCTCGAAAAGGGGCATGTAATTCACCAGCCCGTACACCATTGGCAGTCGGGCCCTAGTATTAGCTAGCTGGCGCTCTCACTTACGGTCGAGTTGCGAGTTCTCGGAATATAGCAAGGACAAAGGACGATTGATTACAGGGTCTCTTTATGCCCCTGATGCCCATCGACCGAATATCCTCTCACCGTGAAGCAATTAATCAGCACTTCTGAATCATAACATAATCAATAGTCAAACACGCTGCAGGCCACACAATGAGCTAGACCACCCTGCTATTCTACATTAAAGATACCTTATCAGATTCAAGGTATCTCAACTATCTCAACTATAAAAACTCCGGAAGACTTGATTTTTGGTATCTAGATTTCAGATGATATGAAGAATATAAATATTCTTTATAAAATTTACATAGCTACATAAATAATTAATGATATGAGATACCTCTATCTTATGTGTATATAGGAATTTGTCGATTATATAAACATAGAAAATAACATTTGCAGGGGTCGGGAAAATTGATGGAGTATCTTTATATATCTGATATATATATAGTTAGAGCTCAAGGATTGTATTGGCTGAGATATAATAGAATTCAAAAGGTATCTTTCATGTGGGATAGCAGGTTAGCCCGCCTGACCGTGTGGCCCACTCGACCGTTGATTACGTGAACTAGCCATTTCCGGCGGGCAAGGGGAGATTTTGTGGAGTATAAAGAGCATAGTTCTAAATAATAGTCCCAGAACCTCGGTTTCTATTCCCAGTCATATTCACCTCGGTGCTTGTAGAGGTTAATACCACTCTTACTTTCCTTGTTATGGTTCGCATATAAAGCTTTCTCTCTCTCTCTCTCTCTCTTTTCTATTTGCTCGACCAAAGTCACTCATTCATCATGCGTATTTCTACTACACCACTGTGGATCTGGCCCCTGGCTGCTGCCCCTCTTGTTGCAGGATTCACAGACCATAGCTATTCGAAGCATGCAGCTATGCATAAGAGATGCCCATATGCCAATGACCATCAACAAGCCGTGTCAGGACACGAGAACGGGCTTCTTGCGGAGTTACTGAAGTCTCCCGTTGATGGTAGGCCTCGAAATCTTACTCCACAGCTAGTTCACTAACATCGCACTACTTAGTTACTGGAGAGCACGCATTTCAACCTCCGGATTTCGAAACTGGCGACCAAAGAGGTCCTTGCCCGGGCCTGAATGCGCTGGCAAACCATGGCTATATCCCACGTAACGGCGTGGTTTCGGTGGGAAAATTGTAGCTCAGTCGCGCCAGTCGTCATGCTAACAAGAGACAGTTCGGGGGTGCGATAACGGCCATTAACGAAGGTATGACATAGAGCACACAATCCAGGACGAGATCAGCCGCTAACGCTTTTAGTGTATGGTATGGGCGTTGACCTTGCCACTGTCCTTGCTCTCATGGGCACAGTTTGGACTGGGAACCCGCTGTCTCTAGACCCAAGGTTCTCCATCGGAGGCCGCGACATTGGTGTCAACAACTTGCTGGGAAACCTAGGAGGACTACTGGGTGCGTGAACCCTCTAAAGTACCCTGGCCTTCCATGGCATCCCCCTTACTCGGATGACTGCAGGCGATCCCCAGGGCCTCATCGGCTCTCACAACTTCATCGAGTCGGACTCCTCCAACACTCGCGACGACATTTACGTCACGGGCAATAACCATAAACTGAACATGGATAAGTTCATGTCATGGTACAACATGTCCACTGATGGGACGTTCGACATGGACCTCATGGCGAAGCGCGCAAAGTTACGTTTCGACGAGACCGTCCAAAGCAATCCGAACTTCTACTACGGCCCTGTGACCGGCCTGATTGCGCGCAATGCAGGGTATATCTTCCCCGCGCGGTTGTTCCGGAATTATTCTCAAGAGGAGCCTAACGGCGTTCTGAGTAAGTAGATGAGAGGATTGTTCGACGCGTAAACAGACTAACTATTTGTAGCCAAGGAGCATATTCGGAACTTCTACGGAATTTATGGAGAGGAAGGTAACTTCACCTACAGGGAAGGATGGGAGCGAATCCCAGACAACTGGTACAAGACTCCCGTCAACTTTGGCCTTGTCCAATTGAACCTGGATATAATTGACTGGCTGTCGAAGTACCCCGAGCTCGGAAGGTGAGAAATCTTCGCTGGCTCCCATCTTTTCCGATCAAATTTTTGACAGTTATGCAATTGCAGCATTGGAGGCAACACAGGAACCGTGAATAGTTTTGCTGGCGTTGATCTCGGAAATTTGACAGGCGGTGTCTTCAACCTGGGCAACCTTCTCGAGGGAAACAATCTACTGTGCTTGGCGTTCGAGGTGCTGAAATTTGCTGGTCCTAATGCGCTATCTGGACTTTTCAAGAGCCTCGCAGAGCCGCTGGAATTTATCACGAATGCACTCTCCGTGCCTTTGCTAAATGTCACTTGTCCGGCGTTCAAGGATCTGCAAATGGGTGGCAAGCCCTTCTGGGAGGTGATGCAGAAGGATTTCCCCGGTGCAATGAAGAGCGGTGGTGCTTTTTAGCTGGCCTGTCGGCTAAATGGCACTATACCGGTGAGGGTGATGGAGTCATCATATTCTCTGTTTTTGAAAGTTATTCTTATCTTAGGTTTCTTAATGTGTGGACATTTGATCTGTCAACCAATATGGCTGCTATCTCGGGGATTCAAATATTCCGCATTATTAAGCCATTGCTGCTGATAGTCGTGTTTCAGCTCTATGGAAGTGCGCTGATTTAGATGTTTGGTTGCGCGTTCAGAATTGACCAGATTTTTGGATTTAATGAGCTTGAAATTGTAGATCATGATATATCTGTTCCAATGGCCACTGCATTGCTGGTCTATGCAGCATACTATCCTTAGCAATAACAGATATCCTCATCATGGATACTATACATTATAAATCATGTTCTGTACCAATTTAAAAAAAGTCCGAATTAATCTCTAAATCTTCACTCTTCATAAAACCCATACTCATAATCATATTATGCTCGAAGGGCTCCAGGAGCGAGTACCGGTGTCAAGTGGAAACCAAAGAAGAGCACCGCGAATTGAGGTTGGGATTTAGTTTGCAATGTGCTGTCTAAAAGCGAGTGCAGTATCTGACTCAATCTTGTTCTGCGATGCGTTGTCACTCAATATTCCATAAAGGCTGGACATCGGCTCCATTACTTTTGGATTGTTGTTGATGTTTGACGTAAACAATCTAGATAGATGTGTAATACACCTGTGACGGTGTATACCCATCATAGGGCGAAAGACGCCCTCTCCTATCCATATCTAGAAGGTTTTGTCCGTAGGAAGCAATGAGCGTATTGAGTAAGCCCTGAAGCAGCTATAGGTCAAAGATACAGCCGATAAGGTTCCCTGGGAGTTGATACCTTCCCGTACTATGCGCTGGCTCGGCTTGTCGCGCACAGCCTCACTAAATAGTTACTGTGTACACCGTGCTTAGTCACGTGGAGAACCTCTTTATCTGGACTTTGACCACAAGGATGTTGTTCTGCTAACAAAATTCCCGTGATCTCTCTCTCTCTCTTTGCCATAGGTTACGTGCCGCTGCCACCACTTTATAAACCTTAATAAAACTGAGAACGTAATAGCGAAGAGAGCCCCTGTGTCGTCTGACGATTACACGTTTGCATTACCATGAGCTCTGCCATTAAAGGTGGTCGCAGCCGCAGCAAAGCTGGATTTGCGGCACGAAGAAATGCCTGTGAAACAATATGACTATAATGCATATGTATTTGGACAGACTGGCAGTCATGATGTGGTGATTACTTGCTTATCCAGTCGAGAATATGGCATAGGAGCAGCCGCGACACTAGCTACCCAGCCGAAATCCAGTTTTCACGCTATTCTGTTGGGTTTTATGGTGGGTATCAGCGGCGTGATGCACAGTGAGCCCAATAGGTATCTGCAGTGGGGTGATCGAGTACGACTGTGAAAACCCGTTATAGCCTATGTCCTATAATGATAAAATATAAGGGTCCTCTTTGCTCCGGATAACTCTGCACAAAGAGTGGTGGTCAGAAATGAAGTATTTTAATGGTATTAGTCTGCAACAGCAGTGTATGGTGTACCAGTTCACGGTTAGCTATCTTTTCTATCCAATCATGCTACCGGATTGCTCGCCTCGGGTAAGCACTAGGCACGGGTGATTGGTGTTCACGATAAGCTACGAACACCAAGTCAAGGTGTTTAGCTAATCAGAGTCACCTGGCTCTTGGCCCCTTAGCTGGGACCGTAGGCAGCCGGAAATAAGATTCCTTAAGGCTCCCATGTCTGATAGTTATAAATAGCCAAGTTTTGCTAAAAGTAAGCAAACTCAACTAGGTGCGCAGGATTGTTGTAAGATATGTGATATTCTAAATATATGCTCAGATACCCAACAGCAAGAATCAAAAGCTCAGCAGTCAGCTTAGGCGTCCCACATCGCCAATTAAGGAAGGCACTGGATGGGCCGGTGGTCGGCCTTACATGTTACAGGACAGCTATTTTTAGCTATGGGATATCCAATAGCACGAATTGAAATTTGCCAAAGATGGGTATAAAGAGCCTTTTCGCCCTTTCATCTCAGATTATTATTCCACCACACTCCGAACATTATCAAGCATCCCCCCACTCAAACAAACAATCTTCCTTCCAGCTATAAACATGAGATATAGCCAACCCCTCCTAGCCATTTCCGGCATTATTGCCTCAGCAGCGTCCACAACCACCTCGTTTCCTGCCAATTTCACCCTAATCTCCACACTTGATAACTCAGTACTGACTACCGATGGTTGGGGTATCTACGACAGCACCACAGGAACTACATTGACGTGTAAGGTTCTACTTGTTCATCCTACACCAACTTCTAATCCGTTATGTACATCTATTAATCGCTTTTTAAAACTGGTAAATATAGTATCTCCCTACAGAGACGGTACCATCGGCTACGGGCCCTACGGTCAGGCACTGGCCGTGCTCGCCGATCAGACCTCAGTTGCTTGGATCATCCAACTCCAGGCCGAGCCCGAGGCTGACGACACGGTGACAGGTTGGGGGGTCTCGGATGATGGGTTCTTAGTGCTGAACGGAGAGCAGCTGTGGGCGTTTAATGAGAGCGCCGCAGAGCCAAGAAGGCTGTATTGGGTCGGCGACGGAAATGAGCAGGGGCTAGTCAGTACACAGCTATTTGTGCAAAGTGCGGTGTAAAATCTAGAAAGGGCTTGGGGCTTTGGACATACCTGTAAAGTTCTCTTTATGGTAGTAGCCCCCCCTGCTGATGGTAGCAGCGCCACGAGTGATAGCTGCTATACTGGCTATCAAGATTAAAAGCGGGTTCTATACCATAAGGGTACTTATATTCTAGTTTAATACTATTAAAGTATCGGATTAAAAGTTACTGCTCAGAGTAACTTTAAGAAGTTGTATAATATTCAAAAGCAATTAGTGTGGGTCTGGCGAGAAGTTAGGTGGGCCAGGTGAGCTATGTCCTGGGATGCGCGACGCCTCCACGGCGGAGGGGGCTTCATGAATCCCGCGTGTGTCAGTCACTCTATAGATTATTTAATGTATCTTTTTACATCCCGAGAAACTAATAATAGACCATATTAATGTCTGCATTACGCTGTCAGATTAATGTACTGTAAGGCCACTTATATCAAAGCCGTTTTTTCTAAAATAATCTAGTCCCAGATGAGGTCAAATAATTTAGGCTTTCTTCTTTTTTTTCGATAGGTCGAAATCAAAAATAAGACAGCCAACTATTATCATTCTTGGATTATTCGAGAAAGACAAAGGCCTATGAAATGGGGGTACAGAGCCGATTTTCCTGGCCGACTCAGCCTGGAAAAAATTGCTATGCTACAGCTCTTGGTCTAAGTTAATGCATAGCCGATGTTACTCTACCTTCCTTGGTAGAGCCCCGAGTTATTGAGTCACAGACGGGACTATATTCTTTATGCGGACCGTGTTTTCAGGTTCATGGAAGCTACTCCCACTTTGTCTCCTGCACCCTGTTCTGGCAATCGATCGTTTCAAAGAGTCATGGAGGAGCCAAAGTACATGGTCTTCAATGTGGTTCCCCAATTGCGCAACTCAGCTTGGGGTTTCCCAGTCGGGGCCTGACGCCAAGAAACTGGCGCATCTCTGGGCATTAGGTTGTCGACTAACCTCATTGCTTGACATACCTAATTGTTGACCTGCTTTGCCCAAAGCACCAATGGGGTCAACTGGCGAGTGAAGACGGTCAAGAATGGAGACCAAAGGGCTGTTGGCTAATCACCTGTCGCCACCAACCTGTGGACAAGTAACTTTAGGCAGGTTACCCTAGTTTGACCCCAAACTCTTTTGTACTTTTCAGGCAGAAGACAACATTTAGGACTTTGGGGGCCACGCGTTGATCATCGCCTCCGACCCGTCTTATTTCCAGCCCTAAATGATTTTCACGCCCAGACCACCGTTTGGTACGTTCAGAATGTGCCCTCCACGGGTTAGATAGCGGAGCAGACAAAAAAAAAAGCTTTACAGCCCAGGCATATTGTTTGGAGATTGCTGCAAGTCTTACATCAAGCCTAAGTTGAGTCCATGGCACGAGGACACGTGTTCCCAGCGCCAAACAAGGGAAGAAAACGCTCCTCGAGGCTGAGGCGTGCGGGGTATGTGAGATAGCTCCAGCCAGTACACTTGCCAGCCAGCGCCGGACCCCGGCAAGTAAGTAGGCAGGGGAGGACATGCACCCCGGGCTGGATCTGCAGTGTAACGCGGCACTATCATCTAATCATGTTCTCCTGCCGCGCAGGAATAAAAAGAGGGACTGCAAGGGTCCATCGACTTGAGGTGCCTGGGTTTTATTTGGCTCCCTTCCGTGCGTGCCGAGGAGAGTCATGGCAAATTAAATGCTTCCATCATAATATGCCGACACCGTGATTGGCCCGGTCTCAATCAAAATAAAAGTCTCGCCCTATGTCGCCGGACTGGTCCCCCCTAAACAAGCTATCCAGCCCTGTCCCGGTGCAATGATCGCGGGCCGTGGACGTTTCAGAAGCAATTTTGACACATGAAACAAAGTTCCGTTCAAATATTCCATTTACACCGTTTCAACCTGTAATAATCGCGCAATGCGTAAACTAAAAATGGGAAGGTGCACGAGGCTGGGAAAGTCCTGATGTGTATGTAAAGGGACACGACAAAAGAGGAGAAAGCAATGCAGAACAATGCCCGGGCACGGCTCCAGGATGACCATTCTTTGAGGTTAGTGGAATCACCGGATTCGAACCGGACCTCGAAGTCAGCTTCATCTTGAACACTATACTCTTCTTTCGCATTATTTGTCTCGACACTGCCGTCGAGGGCATCATCCCCATGAGGGATGGCATCTTGCACAGGTTCGTTTTGACCTTCCTGCACCGGCTGGGTCTTTGGATCCTGATGAACCACCCTCGACATGGTAATTGGTGGCGTCAGTCTCCACTCACCTCGAGACGCAGGGATAAAACCCGGATGAAGACCACCCATGGCTAGTTTCTGATTGGATCGAGCATGAGTGTTTTTACGTCCCGTCTTTTTGGCGGCGGGGTTTGCCGCTGTAAATGTTCTCGCTGCGCCCGCCCCGCTCTAATCCTTCGAACCTTTAAGATGCCTTCTGTTTCTCTGTCGAACGAGGCTTTGCGACACTTTGTCTCGTCCCAGTGAGAGAGATCGGTCCCCGCCAATTAAATCTGGCTCGGGTTATTGCCCTTCATTGCTCTCCTGACGTCTCTAATCCTCACCCTCGCGTGCCACTTTCGTCAACTTCTTCCTTCCCAATTTCATTCTTACGAGGCTTGGTCTTGCTGTGCTTCTCTCTTGAGCCTCGCTCTCTTTTTAGTATTGGTCCCAGACTATTTCGACACCTTCCCCTTGGCTAATCTGGCTTATTCTCAGTCTAGCCAAACGAAATCGAATTCTTACAGCGGAAGAGTTCTGGTATATTTACACGACGGATTGTAAGTTCCAAGACACACACGGAAACAATATCCTGCGTATTTCTATAATCCCTACCAAAGAAAATCAAATAATGTCCAAGATGAAATTCAGACATCTGATTCCATTTGCCTCTTTTGCAGTCAGTTGTATTGCGGCCATGTCTACTCCAGAGCCACTTCCAAACCCCCAGCGTGTCATCACCGACACCGATCCCGAGACCGGCATCTCTCACTTCAATACGACCCTGGATGAAAGCCTTGCGGTCAAGCAGGATCTTGGAGGTTCCTTGTTCCGTTTGGGATACATCACCGACAAGACCCCCAACACGCTCGATGGCACCGATCTCACGAACTACATTGAGTACCTGGAGACTGCCAGCGTTCCTCCCGTCACCCTCCCCGACGGTCGTGGCATGATGTGGTACATCGATACCCCTCCTGGTAAAGGCAGTCCTGCTCACCGCACCGTCAGCTTTGACGTTGTTATCCAGGTCGCAGGCGAGATCGAAGTGACGCTCGAATCAGGCGAGAAGCGTATCCAGAAGCCGGGTGACATGCTCATCCAGCGCGCTACCACTCACACTTGGAGAAACCTCAGCAAGGACAAGTGGGCCCGTATGGTTGGTGTTATGTACTCGAGCAACCCTGTGGTTCTCAAAAATGGCACCGTACTTGGTCCTTCTGGACTCTAGTCGTCTCATCAACAATGGTATAGGCTATTTGTGTCTACATAGGACACCCAATCTATTTTCAGGCAAATATTCTTTTTTTTCACGTGCCTCGGCACCTAAGCTTCTAGAGTCAACATTATATTCCATCTGTCAGTAGACTGATTAGTACCTATGCGGAAATATACAAGCGCAGCTTTTTCTTTTTCCATATATTGACGTAGTTGTAACAAGTGACAACATCAAATTAGCTAAACGTTGGATCATAGATTTTCTTTGTCGCATATCTCTAGATAGTATTTGCGTTTCGTCATTTAATAACACGCTATCTTTCAAAGCCCTCAAGTATTTGCAATACTGTTATCAGATAGGTTGCCAGCTCTCTTTCCCATGCGATATGCTGATCATGTTCCATCTGCTGCATCTCATCCAACACTGAAGCTATCTGCCGTAACATTCGACGATATATAAAGCGTATCAGGGTGGCTCCTTGTTGATCGTCAAGAGTAAACCATCCGAGAACCATGGGAGGGAGATTCTCAAGAGCTGCAGCCAGAGAGGGACTGGTAGGAGTCACAACGGCCACACAAGGCTGTACGAAGGTTTGTGGTGCGCTCCGAATGCCGCTGCCGCTGGTCCCGCTGCGGCTCCGGCTATGCTTTTCTGCCCCTCCAACCGAGTTGGCCGCCGTAGCAGTGACATTATTGCTCAGAAACCCAATCACATTCTCAACCATGTCGAGTACGCGGTATGAGTGGGCTTCCAAACAAGGTCGACATGTCTTGAGGCATTCCCAGAATGCCATGCCCTGGCTAAAGTGCCGAAAAATGGCTTCCACACCCGACTCGTCAGTATTTGGCAGCGCGTGAAGTTCGGGTGGACTGCTGCCACTGCAAAAATATGACGATTTCGATGACTTATTTGACGATCGCGATTGCCGGCGACTATTGTACGTTGCATGGCCTGATGCATTCATTTTGAGCGGCAGGGTACGTCACGCACAGTTTGGATGAGTTGCTAAGAGCAAACGAAGAAATACAGTTGTGTTGAGGCTTCCGGGAAGGGAGGACTTTACACAACATGCAACTGTTGATTAGATACGCCTCTGTCAGTTCTTGGCAATCCACAGTGTGACTTCGCTCCTGACACAAATCCCTGCGTTATCACCTCGCAGCGTGAATTTCCTGAAGCAATATAAGCCAATACAGCGGTTGACTGTTTTTAAATGTCTCAGCTAGGAGATATGCTATTTGTTGGAAATCCCAGAACTGTATGAGGATTTGCTATCACTGGTAGTTTGCCTACCAATGATATTGGAACACGAATCTCTCCGTCGCCTGGCTAGCCAGAAGTGGTATATTTTTTTAGTCTACGGGTTAACGCTTTGACAGGTTATTAGCCGGGTCAGCTTTTACTGACATGTAATATTTTAACTAGAGATCAGAAATTACAGATTTAAGTTCGGGAATAATTAAGCTGGATCTTAGATTCATGCAATTCCAGTTGGAGAAGTTGTCTAAACCAGGATCTGGAGACTGAAAGTAATGGTCTCTAGATGAAGGAGGCTGTATTTGAATATATATCTCTCTATCACCTCGCTAGCCAGAAGCACTATATTATTCTTAGTCTAGTAGTTAGTGCTCCGATGAATGATAAAAGTCGTACGGTACAATAATTTCTAGTGTATCATATGACTAGCTAGATTTTATACCGCCGGATGCAGGGATCTAGAGAGGGGTAAGGGACCGAACATCGGCCATAAACGGAGTGTAATCTATCTAATTGAAATCAGGAAGGTCCATGACAGGCCCAATCAGGCAAGCGGTCAGCTATATCAAAACTAAGGTAATTCGCAGCCGAGAAGCGAATGTGAGCTCTAATATGTCAGAAGCTTTTCAACCACTAGAACCATTACTTAGTCCATATACAATCTCAATTTAGGGCCATTCGTTGGTTTACCCTCTTCCACAATATCTAATAGGCCAACCTTCATTGCAGCGTGGAGGACATGATAATGAGTTGTAGGTGTAGATCTATCATTCTAGCAAGCTGCTTAACGCAATGTTGGCCCCCCTGTATGAACCAAAGGAAGTGGCTCCCCATTACAGCATGCTGTGTCTCCTTTTCTTCTTTTTGATTTTCCTCCTTATTCTCCATCATACTTCAGCATGTAGAACCTCGGTTATTTCTTATAAAAGAAGATTATATTTGATGCTAATTAGGCAGCCATTCAAGATATCATATAGAAGCTGTTACACTGTTAGATAGCCTCCTTTATTAGACGCTTCTCTATATAGTAGGGATGTGACGATGTTATAATCAAGCTAATAAGGGTTCTGAGGAGTTTGAGAAGCAGAAATAGACAGAGCCTTCAATAAGTAACAGTGTAATCGGTGTTAGTGTATAAAGCTAGAAGGACTTGTTCTTTATTCATCAAATCTAGATCAGCTTCTACAAAGCCATTGCGACTATCTACTTCGTTGAACTTCTTGTCTTATTCTGGGGGCTATAGATGTGGGATATCCCCTTATTAATGTGGTTATTTCCGATTCGACCACTATCATCCCTTCCACTAGTTACCTGTATGGGTGTTTGAGCAATTCAAAAAGCCCGAACATCTAGGGGTTGGAGAAGATGAGAAATATGTGGTGGCATGCCGGGATAGATGATTATATTCTCTTTTGCACAAGGTATTGAATTTTGGAGTCAAATAGCTGGAATGGCCAACGGCCCATCGAGGATAGGCAGCCACTTGGCTGCGGTGGAACGGAGTTAGCCGGTTTCGGCGCATAATTTTATCTGAACCGCACGAAAACCCCACCTGCGTCAAGTAACAGGTTCCTTCTCTCGGCCGGAGAAAACGGTTCACTAATCTCGATATCGCAACGTCCGCTTACAATTCTAAATCTGTAGGACCACTGGCATAGACGGTGAAAGAACCCGAGGAGGCTGGCGGATTTACTGTACTGATAACCTAGAGAAACCCGGTATTGTACTGGTAGTTGATGTTGTAGCTGCAGCTAGGATAAAGCTGGTTCAGTAACCACGGGCGGGGGTTACAGGAGTAGCGTTTAACTAACAGAATGATAATAATGAGGAATCAAGCCGAAAGAACGAAGAGGAAAGGAGTTACCGTGGATATCGGTCATTTTAGGGGCATAGTATACCGTGCTACTCTGCGAATATTGGGCCGACTATAACAACACCATTTATTGCCCACACAAATGCGCCAGTTTGCTTGATTCCAAATTATCACAAAGGATACAGAGCTGTTTATCCACAGCACTTGTTTACTTTTGCCTCTTCTTGGCCATCAGAAAATAAACTCTGATACTGCCGCCAAAGGAAGCACCCCCAATCGACACAAATGGCATCGACGGCGAAGGATGGATCGGGGCGCTTTGGCGATATGAGGGATTACATGGCCAAAACGTTATTCCAACCGCACCGAGCCCGGGACGCCATCTGGGACGCCCATCAGGGCAAGATCCCTACCCTGCTGAGATACTACGCCGGGCTGGCCTCCGTCCCGATCACCCGCTGGCTAGCCCCCATGGGATTTGACTATGTCTGGATCGATTGGGAACATAGCGCCATGAATATTGAGACCATGACAACCGTACGTTGGAAGCATTTCAATTCTCACACCTCTCTAGCCCGCGCAACGTCATTCGTTATTTGTCCCTTGTTTTTGCAACTTTATAGGAAGTTTGTCCGCTGAATGCATCCACGCGCAGATGGTAAACGAAGCAGTTTTCCTCAGCAACGGCCGCACGATCCCTTGGGTACGCGTACCCGGCCATGATCATGCCACCATGGCGTATGCCCTCGATGCAGGCGCATCCATCGTGGTGCCGCAAGTTGACAAGGTGGAACAGGCCAAAGAGGCCCGCGGAGCTGTAAAGTTTGGCCGAAAGAATGGCGGGCACCGCTCTGCGCCGCCTTTCCGCTACGTGCCTGGGCTAACGGACGTGCCGCTCGATAAGGACCACCCGTTGTGGGAAATCTTCAACCGCCAGTTAGGCTTTATGATCCAGGTGGAATCACTCGAGGGTATTCAGAATCTCGACGCGCCTGACAGAAGTGCCCGAGATCGACGCTGTCTGGCTTGGCACCATTGATGCCCGCGTCAGCATGGGCTTGCCGGGTGGCCATGGCATCGTGGGGACAGAATCCGAGTGGCTTGAGGCTGTTGAGCTGTTCCACAAGACCATGCGCAAGCATGACAAGCCTTACTCGGGCTTCTGCCTGGCCAAGGGTGATGCGTTCTTGAAGAAAAAGAGCTACATGTCCATGTGCATTGTGGCCGGAGACACGCTCAAGCTGAGTGAGATGATGGGACACTTGGCGGAGAGAAGAGCCGAGATAGCTCAGACGCAAAACGATTCCAAGTAAGGAACTTTGCTCTACTTTTGTTTGGTACAGAGAAATAAGAACACCCCGGATGTCTCTACTGAGGTCTCCCACAATAGCACGTGAAGTCGTGTATTGGTCCTCTGGCCAGCCAATTCGATGTATATTGTAATGTGGATAATGTTACAAGTAGATATCGCAATCGTATTATTATCATGGCAAGCAACTGAAAGCACTAGGCCACATTGTCAATTTCCCAGCAGTTCGCGCGTAGCTGCCTGCCCATCTTAACTACGAGACTGAAGCCATGGGCAGACGTCCCTACGTAGTACCCGGGTCTGATACTTTAGCAGAGTTTAGGTGGAAACTGTGAAGACAGCATCTATTAGAGATAATATAAAAGATAAATCTGTATTAAAGTTCCTGGTCTTCTTCCATAGCCTGGCAGGTAATACAGATGTCTTGTTTATAGATATCAATATTAAATAGTTAAAGAAAAAGAGTAAAATATCGGTGCCATCGGACCCCGGTGGATCTTCACTACCTTGGCGGTCATCGGTTGGGCGAGTATCGGAAGCATCTGGTCGTTCTGAAGAAATGTGGTCGAATGGGCCGCCGTTATGGAGAACAAGCTAGCTAGTTGATAGATATTGCTTCGTGGTTGTCTTGTGCGGATCTCATTCTCTGCTTGTTCGGCATATGTTGATTGATAAGTATATGAAGAAATTCAAGCATCGGCCGTACCCGTCCTCGCTTGCTGCACCAATCAGTCATAAATCTCCAGTGATATATAGACTGTTTTCCACAAGGGCTTGTTCCTGCAGTGTTATTCCGTATTGGGCATTGATCTTGAGGCATTGTGACGTGGCGTATGAGCCCCTTTCCTCAGCATTCTAGTGTTCATCCAGCATAAATATGCACTGCATTGGATGTACAAGCTATCTCAAGCACCCCGGCTCGGCAGCATTAGTCGGCCCCACTTATCTCAATGGAACTTTTATGCACCTGATCCTATGTATAACCACTTCATCTGAAGTCTCAGTTACCGACTCTATGTGAATTCAAGCATGATCTGCACTAGAGAGTCACATCAAGGCGCCGATAATGGACAGCATACTACGTAAGCGATGAAATCAGCATACAGGATGGGAAAAAGAGAAAAATGCCTCATCGCGCCCGCCTGTACATAGCGCCCTATCCCTCGGATTATTTAAAGAGGCAGAAGTGCAAGCATCGATGCTACATTTTCCAACCATTATTTCCCTTTGTCATTCCTGCATCTAAGCACAGCCTACATTCAAGCACAAAGTACCCATCTATTTGACGTCTGTGTCAAGCGACCATGGTCGGTATCACCAATTCAGCTTCAGAAGCGTTCAAAGCCCCGGGAAGGCTTCTGGTAACCCACGTCGATACTATTGCCAAGCAATTCCCTAATAGAAGATTTGGCCTGATCCCCAATGGCACCGATATCGACCAAGGCTTCCGGGAGGTGACTTTCCAGGATCTCTCCCGCGCAGTCAATGCCATGTCCTGGTGGATCGACGACACTCTGGGCAAGCCGCAACCGGGAGAAAAGATCGCGTATCTGGCGAACAACGATGTGCGCTACATCATCTTTATGCTTGCGTGTCATAAGACAGGCTATACGGTTTGTTTCCCCGGGTGCCAAATTTACGAGTTGCAATTAACCATCAATATTGGGATTCGCTTCTAGATCTTTCTACCTTCCACTCGGCTGTCGGATAACGCATATAACCATATTTTCAAGGAAACAAAGTGTACGCACCTGCTTTTCAGCCGAGGAAAGTCTCCAATTGCTTTCAGATTGAAAACATTGGACTGGAAGATGCAATTCCACGAGGTGCCATCTGTGGCGGACATCTTCAGCAATGGAAGTGACGCGAGTCACTTTGAGTTCTCCAAGACCTATGATGAGGTGGTGGACAAGATTGCTTTTATGATCCATAGTTCTGGAACAACCGGTACGTATGCAGCGACTGATCCCCAAACAGCTTAAGAGATGTAGAGCTAACAATTCCAGTAAGGCATGCCTAAGCCTGTTCCTCTTACCCATGGTTTTCTGGGTACGATGGATTTTGCCGCATCGATCCATATGCCTCCGGGGCGCTCCTCCGCTTTCTTTAATGACCTGGTTTCCGATGATCCCAATCCCAAGGACCTTGTTCTCTCGTCCACACCCTATTTTCACTTGATGGGGCTGGTCTCGTTCTTTGAGTCTATCTTCCACAACATCCCCTTCGTTGCGAGCCCTGAGAGGTTGCTTTCCGTGGGGTTTCTGACCGATCTAATTCGCCACACGAAACCGACAGTCACGATTCTTCCACCTTCAATCCTTGAAGACATGAGTTATTCTGAGGAGGCTCTCACATGCCTCAGCACTCTGAAGTTTGTTTGTTATGGTGGGGCTCCTCTTTCGCCAGAAGTGGGCGAGAAGCTTGGTCGATACACTCAGTTACGATCAGCCATTGGATCCAGCGAGATGGGGGTCATCTGCTCCATGGTCCCCGAAGAAGAGGACGCCTGGGGGTATTTCGAGTGGAATCCCTCCTATCAGATTGATATGCAACCAATCGGGGACGGGTTATATGAGTTGGTCGTACCACGGGTGGAACATTCTCTCGTGATGCATGGAATCTTTCACACGTTCCCGGATCTGAAAGAGTATCGATCCAAAGATCTCTACACCCGGCACCCAACCAACCCGAAGCTCTGGAAGTATCATGGACGCTTTGACGATGTGATTGTGCTCAGCAACGGAGAGAAGCTGAACCCGATCTCGTTGGAGAAGATCGTGGAAGGCCATCCTTCGGTTCATCGGGCTTTGCTTATCGGCCAACGCAGATTCCAGACATGCTTGTTAATTGAGCCAGATATCGAGAAGGTTGCCGCTCCTATCAACGAGAAGGAGTTTGTCGACATGATTTGGCCAATAGTTCAGGCAGCTAACAAGACCCTTCCTGATTACGGCCAGATCGTGAAAACCATGATCCGCCTTTCATCTCGCGAGAAACCCTTCAAACTCACCGCGAAAGGTACTACACAACGACATGCCGTGAATAAGGATTATGCCGAGGAGATTGAGGAGATTTACGCTACCCAAGATAGGCAACTGGTGATAGGCCTGCCATCAGCGATCACCCCGGACACTGTCCACGAGTATCTACAAAACGTTATCTGCAAGCTTACTGGGAGGAAAAGCATCGAACCCAATGACGACCTCTACAGCATGGGCCTGGACTCACTCCAGGCAATTCAGTTGAGCAAGATTCTGACAAATTCGGTCTTCTCCTACAATCCGGAGTTGAACACCGAGCATCTCAATGTCCAGCAGATCTATGCGCACCCAACTGCAGAGGGACTCACTAATATACTGTTGGGGATCCTTGACAAATCATCGAGTCCAATCGCTACTGTATCTCGTTCTTATAAGATTGCGCAGTTAATTACCAAGTATACGAATGATCTTCAAACTCGAAAATCTGATATCCTTCCTCAACTGCCGGGCTTATTCACTGTCATTCTCACTGGATCCACTGGATCGTTGGGCAGCTATATTCTTGACGACCTACTGCGCAATCCCCAGGTAGCAAAGGTCTACTGTTTCAACCGAAGCGAAGATTCTCCGACGCGCCAGAAGGAAGGCTTCCAAGAAAAAGGACTGCAGACTTCTCCTCTGGATGATCCCAACAAGGTCCAGTTCCTGCATGTCCGCTTCGGAGAACCCCAATTTGGCCTCTCCGACCGACAATACAAGGAGCTCCTCGACACGGTTGACGTGATTATCCACAATGCATGGAAGGTCAACTTTAACCATCCCGTGTCCTCCTTCGAGGACCCGCACCTCAAGGGTGTCCGGGAGCTCGTGCGCTTCAGCCAGGAGAGCCGCTACCAGGCCCATCTTGCCTTCGTCTCCTCAGTCAGCACGATTGGGGCCTGGAAGCCCAGCGATGAGGTCACGGCCGTCCCCGAAGTTCCGATGGAGACGGCGGACGCCGCGCTGGAGCAGGGATACGGAGAGTCCAAGTATATCGGGGAGAGCATCTGCGTGGAGGCTTCGAAGACGGCCGGCGTGCCGACCAGTATCCTGCGCGTGGGACAGATCGCGGGTCCAGACACGCGATTGGGAGTGTGGAATCCGCACGAGTGGATCCCCTCATTGATTAAGACATCAAAGGCGATGGGCAAAGTGCCGTCTGATCTCGGGGGGTACCCCATCGACTGGGTGTCAGTGGTACGCACCTGGCTCTATCTTCTACTGTCTGACCCCATCCGTAGAGAATGTCACTGACTAATTGAACCAGGATACCCTAGCGCAAATTGTAAACGAACTCGTCCTCGGCCGCCGTGTCTCGCTCGCGGAAACCCGCAACGCAGTCTTCCATCTGGTTAATCCATGCCGGACCACCTGGGCTTCTCTCGTCCCTGCGATCCAAGAGCGATACCCCGTCCAGCCCGTGTCTCTCGTCAACTGGGTCGCCGATCTCGAAACCATCCAAGATCCATCCGATCGCGACGTGCAAGACAAACCCGCACTGAAGCTCCTAGCCTTCTTCCATAGCCTGGCGGAAAACGCGGATGTCTTGTCTGCGGACATCAGCGTCGAACGGTCGAAGAAGGGGAGTAAAACAATGGCATCACTCAGTTCGGTGTCACCTGCTCAGATGGCCAATTGGCTGAATCAGTGGAACTTTTAGATCTAATTCTAGTCTGAGATCTTGAGCATTAATGCGGCAATTATGTTAATATTCATCGCTTATAGAATGATCAGTATAAGAAATATTAGGGCTAGAGTGACCTCACGAACATTCTTGTTCTACCGAAGCGGGAACCAACGCCTCAGCCCCATTGACTAGATGCCTTTCCTATCCCAAGTACACGTCTTCACAAGGATAGATCGGAGTTGTGTAAATAGAGACCTGCCCCATAAATACATTCAGCGTGCTTGATTGGTCATATGTACCAACGGGATAACGAAAATCTCAGAATCAACCATTTGGGGTCTGTATCACCAACGATGCACATACATGCCTCCATTTCAAGGGGCGAAACACAAAATATATAACAGCATTAGTATGACTGTGCTCACCCAAGACTACTCGTGAGCATCTTGCTGCTTTTACCAGATCCTTTGGATATTTTTCAGAGACCTGAATATTCTTTATCCGAGGAAAGATCAAAAAGATGTATTTCAGTATTTTTATACTTTGTTATTATGGGATAATTTAGTATATATTTTATAGTTGCTTTCTAATCTTATTTTTCCTGCATTTTGTATTTGAGTATATAATTAATTCTATTTTTATTTATTAATTTTTTTTTTTTTTTAACTAGAGTGGTTATACCTGACTTTTATATGTTAATCTGAGCTTAACTATAACCTAACAGTAGTGGTAAACAGTAGAGTGGCTATACCTGACCATTATATCTTACCCGTAACCTGACCGTTAACTGGCGGTCAGCTGAAGGTAGAGATTTCTATTAAGTATTAACTATAAAAATTACAAAGTATTAACCGCAGTTGATTATCTAACCTGATCAGTTAGAAATCAGATAAAAATCAAGCATTTATCTGGCCAAATCTGACTAGTTTAAACAGAAATCTATTTACTTCTCTGTACTGCTTATCAATTAAATCATTCATAAGTGTAAGTTAGTAAGTGTATAGTTAACAGTCAGATAAATATATTTTTATTAACCTGACCGTTAACCTGACGGCAGGTATCAATTTTCTGGTTAACATGACCTGACCTGGCTGTTTGCCTCTAGTCCAGTCTATTAGACAAAATAATGGCAATAGTAACTACTATAATAAAGCTGGTTCTGTCTAGATCTAGAATATGATATGATCAGAATTCTCTCAATAATAAATTTAATTTTTAAATATTTTCATTTATTTTTTCTGATTCTATATAACTGTTCAAAGTTAGACATGCTAGTAAAGCCGTGTAGCTATCTTTTATAATCCTAATTGTAATATATACTTCTAATCCTTGTTATTATATAGCAAGTCAAGAAGATCCTTGCTACTAATAACAGTCATCTGGAAACACACACGCACACACACGCACACGATTTATTAACGCCCGGCAGCTCAGCCGAACGGGCAACTATCACTGATTTATCAACCCAGCTTCTCATGTACATATGTGGTATCTCCTTCAAGCCCACACGTAGATCCTTTCAGTATATGTCCTCAGCTGTTGATATCATAAAAATCCCTGTAGATTAGTAATCTTGCTGATAGACTGGCTTGAAAGCGCTTCTTCGAGTGTTCAACATTCTATCCCAGCAGATGGCACAGGATAGTTGGTTTAGGGTAGTGACCTAGAGCATCAAGCCGCACTTGTGGCCCAACGCATAGTTAGTATTAGCACTCGCTTCGAGCATGAGCTGCATCGCCTCGGTCATAGAAAGGCTGTGCATAAATTCGTATGATAGTACGTGCGCACCACCATTTTCAAAAGGAAAAGTAAGTATACGAATCCTCGCGGAACGACAGATAATCAACGCGTTGTGTATACACGGCATAGATGCCTGCATGCTCCTCGAACTCTTTACACAGCACACTGCGAAAGAAATGGCAGATCCGCACGACACAGCTTGAAGACTGAACATCTCCATTCATGCATATGAGTATTAGCTCCGGTGGAAGCCTGGAAAGGTGGCAGAATAATGGTTGTTCAACCGTAGTAGCCGACATTGCTGTGATTGAGATTGTAGGCATTATACTGTAGGTGTCTCAGATAACTCGGGTAAGACAGGTGACCTTTCAGCTCGTCTCGATACATTTTTCGACACACCTGGGGTCTGATCTAATGCCTAGATCTTCCAACACGCATAACTTTATCTATTGGGGCTTTCAAAAAGCCATGCGGCGTGAAATGGGCGATGCTTGTCTCATCAAAAGGAAGGGTATCCTCCAATGGTGAATCCGACATACTGTGCTGACCTCTCATCATGATGATTGTTCCTGATGTAGACTGAAAGAACTGTTGATCGAGATCTCTTCATAGTGCTTTGCCGAACATACTTACCTAGCCAACCGTGAAGACTATGCAAACGCTGTCCTATGTCATAGAGCACACCAGCGATAATGGCATCACCTTCCAGCTCCCCAGGAGGAAAAAAGGAAGTAGAAACAGGCCAAAGCACTCGCAACAAAGTTCATGTAAGTACTCTTCCTGAAACTCTCAATCTACCTTAATAACCGACAACATAGGTTCCATCCGGCAGTGACGTGAGCCTGACCTGACTTAATGCCTTCGCAGCGGCCCCAAGCCCAATCCTGCACCCTACATACCCAGCCACCCATTCAACTCAGCCTAACAACCCCCTCCACCCCCTCCACCCCCTTCTCCATCTCCACAAAAGACAGCACATCCGGCGGCAACTGAAACCTCGTCACCTCCCCAGTGGGCGAATACCCGCACCTCTCATACCACCCTATCAGCGCCAACCGCGTATCTAACGCATTTAATCCCACCCGCTTCACCCCCCAGACGTCGCGGCAATGGCCCTCCGCAAGACTCAGAATCATTCGTCCGAGGCCCCCCTGCTGATACCTTTGATTAACCGCCAAGTATGAGAGTCGAGCGAGGCCGGGCCCGTGCCTGCGCATGCTGACGCAGGCGATAATGGGCGGATCATTGGAGTCGACGTCGGCGGCGGTGGCGATGAGTATTGCACTATCTTCTTCCGTGATGCGGGTGAGGATGTCGTCTAGCGCGACGTGGAAGCGCGCTCCGAGGGCGAGGTCACCCGTCCAGTTGGGGCGAGTGTCGGCGGCGCGGAAGGCGGATTCGACTAGGTCTCTAATTTGGGGGCCATCGGTTGGGGTTGCGAGGCGGGTGGGGAGGGGCGAGGTGGTCATTTTGAGTGTTGGGAATGGGAGGCAAATGACTGTGAACAGAGGGAAGGAGTTTTGAATGGTTGCGTGAGACTACAATTAGGGGAATCTGGTAGAATAGAGCTCGATAATTGGCATATGAAGCAGTAATAAACGGTGGACAGCAGTAGCCGAACATAAGAGCTAGTGTTGTCTGACGCCCTTTAATTGACATAACTTTTGGGCTACTAACTAGTTAACGCCCTTCGATTGACATCCCATTGGCTGACAGAATGATAAGCTACGATAAGGACGTGTTAGCTGACAAATAAAGGCTAGATACTTACGCGACCATGCACAACTTATCACTTTACCACTTGAAGAATGCCTTCACTATATAGCAGGCTCTCGAACTGCTGGGTTTGACATCAAATCTGCCACTGATTTCCACTGTTAGGGGGTACAGTCGTTGGCAGCAATCAAGAGTAGGTTGCGATAAACTTAAGGAGGAACATTGAAAAGGCCTGTGATATCGCCTTGACAGATAATCTTGATCTTAAGCAGGTCTATGAGAACAAGGACCCGGACTTATTCATTGAAGAGGAGGTGAGCATGGGTGTTGCTCGTCGGTTTATAAGTGATGTTCGTGACTGGATCAAATATTTTTAGTGTTCCCGAAGTGTTTGGCATAGCAGTGGTGGAAGCTTAGGTAATAATTATGCTTACTATACTATAACTTGTGTTGTTTCATCTGCATTTATTATTTATTATAGTATAGCCTTCTAAGGATTTTTGATAATTTCTTCTAAGTAACAGATTTTCAAGCGGTAAGACGAGAGTTAAAAAGGATCTTAAAGGATAGAGACGTGCAAACAAAGAACAAGAGGAGAATAAGCATTACCGTCCTATAACGTAAACCACGATCGCGCGGCCCATACGTCGAGCGGCCTATCTAATAATGCCATGCAAAAACCACTTTTCTAATTTGAAATAACTTGACTATTTGAAGAGTATGAGGCTTTAATTCATATATCTAGGCTATTGTACTAATAAGTTATCAAATTTTTTTTTTTTTTTTTTTTTTTTTTTTCATATTTTAGATACGTATAAAACAGCTGTGAATACAATATACCGGTATTTTACTTATATTTTAGGATTATCTATATATTTAATATACATAATTTTTTTCAAATTTTTTTTGCATACTTCTAATATATTAATCTCTCAATAATTAATCTTGATATAGTATGATAGCCTCATTAGAAATGTAGTTGTCGATATCCAATAATTCTTAAAAATATATAGACTAGAAACTAAATTTCAGAGAGGACAGCGACTCGCTCTGAATATCTCTAATTATAATGATACCTGAAGCACAGCTTTTTAATAGAATGACTACCTTGAACTCCGTCCAGGAAATTATTATAGTCACTAATTCCATCAGATATTATATCTGGGGTGTCGACATCAATACTGGAGTATATGAATCAGTTGTTAAAGACAAGATAATGTAACCAGAACAGGTACTTGGCTTTGTTCTAAGGATTAATGGACTGAAAGTGCTCGGGAATACTGAGTACTAGACGAACACTTCAAAGAAGCTCTTCTGCCGCGTACGACTCGACCCTGTCTCTGGTCGTGTGACCAGTTCCGTCGAAATTATCACTTATACGGTGGAGGCAGTCGATTTTGCCGTTACTGCGAACGGAATTGCATATCTGGCTACTATATATCAGCATGAGATAACGAAGGTTTGGTCCAACGGAAAAAGCAAGGTTATTGCTGGAAGTTTGAACTCCAGCTCGATCCCAAATCCGACATCTGGAGCATTTAGCCGAACAATGATGGACAACAATGTGCTTTATGTTACTACCGGTGGAGGAGTAGTTACTCCGATCAATGGTACCTTTGTAACAGGTGGTGCGGTTGTAAGGATTGAGGTTTAGACAGCCGTGGTCATGGTGACTTGAAATACTATTTTGGAGGGAGGAGCAATCAAGAACATTTTGTACAATCAAACGTCGTTCCTGGTTTCAACTGAGAATCAAAACTTCCACGCCATATATTGGCTTTAGAGTCTTCATAGAAGGATCGGAACTAGTATTACTTGCTGACTTATTTCCAGGACGCCAAGAGTGGGCGGTGACGCTAATGCAACCTACTGACAAGACCCACTGTGGCGGACTACCAACTTTCCGTCCTAGCGGAAAGTACTGGCGCCGATTGGCAAGTAAGGCCGGCTACAATAATATGTTGACTCTTTGGTCCAGTAAGCTCCGGTTAACTACATACCTGCGACATCACGGCTTGTGTAGCAGATGGGTTTGTCATGGAGATACCGGAAATCGCGGACTTAATGCTCGTCTAGTCCGGTTATATCCGTGTTGAATAAGGCTAGATTGATGAGCTAGTGATCTTCCCATTGCTGAGGACTTCGTGCAGCTGCGCTCCTTGGGTTGTATGTCCAATGGTATGTGTTGAACTGTTACTGAAAAGACCATCGGACGCTAATAGAGTCCCCAGATTTTTGTTGATATAGGAAGCTTTTGGAGTAATAGATGGCTAGATGTGCCCCGAGTTGGTGGGTGTAAAAGTATTACCAAACCTCGCCAGCTTCTTTCCACTGCAATATCTGTATTGTACCGTGTAAAGCCCGCTGCACCGTTACTGAACCTCTCGCCCACGGGTGCAACTTTCCTTCTTTCTTTAACTGGTTACGTCAGTAATACTCGGCTACGCGCCGTGAAGTTAGCATGTGGAGTTAAAATCCGTCGGCAATTTTATTGGCCACTAATTACTTGGCTCTGTGGGACCGTCAGTAGGCTGCATTAGCGTGACTGCATAATCGACCTCCAATTTTTCATCACGCTGGATAACTGGTTTACCCACTTTATCTCTGTAAACAGGGGACGGTTCATTATATTCATCACTTCAGCTAAGATCTCGGATATAGGGATCTTGAATCTTTATTATTTCTCTGGAAATAAAAAAAAAGAAAGCTAAAAAAGCCCCGAAGTCTGATGCTGTCGGAATTAGCTCTTACCCGGTTTATGCTCAAGCTCATCTTCAGTCGCTTCACTACGGCCGCAAACAGCAAAATGTACATGCTGAACGAATGTCCATGTTGACTGACAATACTCGGATGTACGAGTGGTTCGTATGATTTTTATATGAGCAGGCCTTTTCGCTCTCATTGTTTCTTGATTTGTGCAGCATCTGGCTATGTTGATTATTTTTAATAGGATTAGTAACGTAGAGGAAAGCAGCAGAACACGAAGATGTAAAACTGTTAATTGAACTAGCATTGCAAGAAAGCCTGAACTGTCTGATTAATGATTCTAGAGTGTGACAATCACCTTCTTTGCCGAAACACCTTTCTTTTATTTGTTGAGGCCGTGCTGGATGGTCTTGAGCCTATGTTCTATGATATAAGGATCTGGCTTTGCCTGGAAAGCACTGTTTGCCAGAGCCCGAGGTAAGTACTTTCTCCAGATCCAGTCACTAATATTGTTATGCGGTTCTTGAATTATGGAGTATGTGATGACTATGAGGCGGTCGTCCATGACTCGGAAAAATGTATTGATTCTTCAAGATTTTTATACATACCATACTGGGGAATAAATCGCTCTGTTGGTCGGTTGTATGGAAGCACGCTGGTAACAGGCATCTTTGTATCAAGCGTGTCAAAGATCTCGGAGATAGCTGCAAAACTCGGCTCTTCAGTGATTACATCATAAACTTCTGTAAAATTTAAATCTCTGAGTGCATGTGAGATATATTTTATAATAGTGGAAGACCTGTAGTCGAAGACTGCATGCATGCTAAGTGACTTGATAAATTCTTTATTAGCCTCAGATGCAGTAGTGAAGACAGTCAGATCTGATGCAACTGTGAGCTGGATAGTGGATGCACCAACTGAAGATGCATCATCCCAGACTAGGAGTACTTTGTCTGTAGATTTGATGTTATCTGCTTCAGGAAAGGGTAGGTTGAGATAATTTTTGCGGTAGAGACCTGCACTGGCGGTTGAGATGGCTAGTGGAAGCACAACAGTCTGTTCAAATGTAAGCGATTCCGGAATCTCGGCCATAAGTGACTCAGCTGTAATGGGATACAACTGAAATGTACCGTGCGCCGGATCCTGCGTCAAGAGGCCGTAGCAGTGGCTGCAGGGTGTTAGTGTTAGAATTATCTAGGTCGCAGTGGAATCCTTATGTAATTATTCTCTGGTCTTTCTTGAATCTAGTTACGCCACTTCCAATATCTTTGATAAAACCAGCAGCATCCTGTCCTAAAAGAAAAGGATACTGATTTAGATAGCGCTCTAGGCTCCTGGATAATGATCAGAACCCGGGAGATGTTCCTTATTATGAATGGAGACAAATAGCCACTACTGACTGTATTTTCCAATTAATAGGATTCTTATGGACGGGTCAGTGACAGTTATATATAGATTGCTAGAGGGAAGAGAAGGTATTATAATAGTGATGGTGATATTCTTGATTACTACTTCTCTAGGTCCTGGTTTCGGCTTTGCAGCGTTCTGGATTTTGAATGGATATTCTGCTGGCGTAGTAATCCATGCTGCTGTGTTCTCCGTTATCTTGAGGACACTGGTACAATCAGAGATTGATACTTGGGACAGTTGGATAATGAAGAAGAAATATGGCAGATTGAAAAACTTTTTGAATCAGGGGAGGATGTTAGTGTTTCTATACTTCTTGCTGTAAGGGTGTGGGCCCCTCTCTTTTTATGGTTTTTAAGATAAATAAGGTTCTGAGATGAAGTGGATGGCCCCGTTGGTTGCTGAGAAATTAAAAATGAAGGCTGACTGATTCGCCATCCACCGGTTTGCTCCAGGAGTCTAATGGAATTGATGGATATTTTGAGAGTTCCCTGTTTTAAATCTGTTATCTCTGTTGGAATGGGTCAACGAGATTACTAAGTAATTCCCTGAGATTATAGGGGGCTATTGGAACTGGTTGAACCGTGTGATAGCTGATGAATAATTGTGTATAGGGAGACTGGGTGTATTCTAATTAAATTATAAAGGAGAGTAGTGATTATTGAATGTTAAATAGTTCTGTGTTAATTTGAATAACATGCTCTTTATACTACGGCTTGCAGTATGTATTATAGGCCCGGTTCTGGTTATGATCGCCCTTGGGCAGTCTTAACTGATATTGTTTTATTTTTCTGAACAGTCTCAGGTCATTCAAGGTTACTACTATGCCATTGATTAAAGAATGCACGGTACTTGTTATTGGTGGCTCATCTGGAATTGGTTATGGAGTTGTGGAGAAGTACCTCTTAGAGGGTGTAAAGGTCTATATAGCATCTTCAAATGCGTCTTGGGTGGGCAAGAGTGCGGTCGCTTTGAAACAAAAATTTTCCAGTGCGGAAATTACTGCACATATCTGTGATCTTGCTGGTGAAGACGTTGAAAAAAATCTGGAGTATTTGTTTTCTATTATTGGCACTTGACCACATTGTCTTCACGGCAGGTGATAAACTTGCTATTTAATCTCTGGAAATTATCAATCTCTATGCTATCTGCCGGGTAGGCTATGTTTGATTCGCCGTCCCGCTTCTGTTAGCTAAGCTAGTCCTGTGGTTTCTCAACGCCGGTCCGAAGTTGTCTCTCACGTTGATAATGGGAGCTGGTTCGGAAAAGTCTTTTCCTAATTGGTTGTTGGTTGGAGGGTATCTGACTGGTCTTTATGGAATCACGCGGAATCTTGCTTTGGATCTTAAGCCACTCCGGGTTAATCTAGTTAGTTCAGGGGTGATTGCTACGCCTTTCTGGGGATCTGGAGGGGTGCCAGATAATGTGAAAGATACTACCACCTTGGGCAAGGTTGGAATGGTCGAAGAAGTCGCCGAAGTGTATGTCTACCTGATGAAGGACACGAACGCCACGGGAGTCTGTATTAGCACTAACGCAGGATCTCTTTTGCTGTAGTAGCTAGATTAGTTGCAGATTATCACTCCATTGTATGGTAAAGCGTTGTATTAGTTGTCATGGAAGTCTCGCTACCAGTATTGCTGTTTTCCTGTAAAGTTGTCGTGTTACTCTGCTAACAGTGGTCAGCACTCAAGGAGTAGATGTGCCAATTGAACACAATGGGACGGAGCCAGCCGGGTAACTGAGCATCCGAGCTGACCCGCCCAAGCATAATAAATACTATTTCCTTGCTGACTTCCTCCGTCTTTGACGTCCTCCGTCCTCTTCTCCCGTCAAGACCCTAGGAGTTGAGCTTCCTTGAATTCTTAATTCTCTTACAAGAGCTTGTTCGGTCCCAACATGAGTCAGAATTGTGCTGCCTGGATCATTGCTGCCAGAACCAAACCCTTCATAATTGGCGAAGCCCCCCTCTATAAGCCCGGAAAGGGGGAGATTCTTATCAGAAACCATGCTGTCGCGGTTGTAAGTGACTGTTTTAATATGCCGTTTAACCTGATCGGTTTCCAGTTAATAAGTAGTGACCTCTGCAAGAACCCTGTAGACTGGAAGATCCAGTAAGTTTTATTGGTCTGTTTGTTAATATTTTGCTCTGATCTGAGAACAGAGAGTCAGGTCTCTATCTGAATACATTTTCTTTTATTCTGGGAAGAGATGCAGCGGGTATGGTGGTGGACATTGGTGAAGGTGTCACCCAATTCCACAGAGGCCAGCGGGTGATCGCGTAAGTGTAATTTTGGACTGACATTGTTACTAAAGCGTATCTAATCACTTACACTAACAGACACTTATATAGTCCTAAATCTGGTAATTCTGCTCACGCAGCATACCAGCTGTTCTTCCTCGCTTCACAGACTCTCGCGGTATCTATTCTATTCTACATAAGCTTCGAACAAGGCGCAGTCCTGCTACTAGCAATATCCACCAGCGCCGCAGGCTTATATCTTCCGGAATATCTCAACCTCCTCTTGCCATCGGATACTCCAGAGTCACTGGAAAAGATTCTACTGGTCTGGAGTGGTGCATCTTCTGTAGGCACAACAGTCATTCAGCTCGCGACTGCCTTTGGCTTGTATGTTGTTACGACCGCGTCTCACGCTAACTATGAGTTTGTGAGGTCTCTGGGGGCAGCTGATGTATTTGATTATCAGTCGCCGACTGTTGTTATGGATATAGTGACGAGACTAAGACACATGGATCTATGTAGTGTATATAATGCTATCAGTAAGGATAAAAGCTTTACTCGGCTTGCTGCTATAGCTCAGCGGCTTCAGAAGTGTATTCCAGCGGTCAGCGTGCACCCGTGTTATACACCTACTGTATTTTTCCACCCGAAGTATGGTACGTGCACTTTTCTACTCGGTTCTTGATATATGTAAAGTAATGTCTTAGTAACCTCCTACGGGATCTCATACCCCCCAAATGGGAGGATTGGGAAGGCCATCTGGGGAGCCTTCGTGCCACATGCCCTGGCCACTAGGCAGTTGAAGGCCAAACCTGACCCAGTGGTAGTTGGGCATGGACTAGAAAATATCTAAAATGGGCTTGATGCTCAGAAAGCCGGGGTGTCGGCGAAGAAGATCGTTATTACGCTGTAATTTCATTGATACTGATATTGATGATACGGTGGCACTAGAATTATGCTGAATACGAGTGTTCATCTGCTCTCTTATTGGCTTATATACCGCTGTTGTCTCTCCCAGTGTCAGCCATGTTCAAGCCAGCAGGCAAGTGTGATAACCGTCTTAGTAGGGGTTAGTTACTTTTATCAGAACTACAGATTAATATTTTGTGGGGGCACATCCTCCACCTCCAGTTCTATACTTATTTCCCGAAAAGCCAGTGTATGTCAGCAGGTTGCATTAGCGTACCACGACGTATGGAGGTTTAAGATTTCGGGGCTGTTTCTATGGAATAGACAGATACATGTTCACCAACTAGTTTTCTACGCTTAGTAGGAGACACTTGATCCTAAGATTTACTGAAACTAAAAATTCTGTGGATTGTGTGGGTTTTGCTTCTGCATGCTCTGAACAGCAATTATTTACCGCATGATTTCATTTCGTACTTATCAGAAGCGTAAAGGATTTCTAGCTAAGTATTCATTGAATGTTGTAAGGTCGCCCGTGGCTATCTTTGCTGTTTAATCAACCTCTTGCTTGCCCTGCAGTCTATAATATCCGTATTTTTTGAAGTATAATATCATTTCAACTAGCCTCTCTCCGAATACAGCCCTAAATTTCTTGTAAATTCTTTCTTTGATACTATATGATAATCAACAGTTACTTCCTAGATGTTGCTCATAGATTGGACAATCCCTTGGTAAGAATAGAAGCGCTCGGTGGATGATAAAGTCTGTTCTGTAAATTTCTTCGGCCCCACCAGCACTGGTGTAAGGAATTTACCCGTTTCCTCAAACTGATTGATTAAAGGTAGGCTGGTTTGTGGGGTGATGATGTTAATAATACTTCAAGTTCCGTCGGCATTTTGCCTGGGAGCCAGGTGTTGATTGAAGTTTTGCATGAATCAACCCGGACTGTAGAAGATGCTCCGAATCGGCAAGTTGTATATATACAATTACATCTCAGCTTTAGCATTAAAATGGTCGACTCTCTGATACTTTCCGCATGAGATCTTGGAAACATGTGGAAGGGTTGAAAATAATGAGTCCCACTCCTTTCTCAAAGGCCGCGTCCGCGATTGCTCTTTTCTGAGTGATTTCACGTACTCTGGCATCTTCGGAATCAAATTTTGGCAATGTCATTGTAAAAGCTATGTATCTATCATCCTGAAGCGTTCTGTCAACTACTGCCTTCATGCGCCACGGAAATGATCCGAAAAAGATGATGTTCTGGCCAATAGAACGGATTACAAATCGAAATTCGGCATTTCAAAATTCTGCATTTATCCCGTGATTATAGAACACTGAGAAGTAGCTATTGTATTATTCAGCAGCTCAGCAGCTCAGAAGAAGCAGCTTATAAGGAAGTAGCATCCATGGCTGAGATTAATGTCAAGACTCACTATCCCAAGTTGAATTTGCAGACTGGCAAAGTTAGCTGAAGTGTCACCAATGGCTTCTATTGGAACGATCTACACATACCCGTTCAATCCTCGGGTGATGAAAGTATCTATGCCTCATACATGTCTTACACAATAAAAAAATGGTGATCTAATAGAAGACTTAGGTTCAGGCAGCCGCAGCTTTGAATGGGTGTACGGTGGATATTGCCCCGGAATTCATTATGACTAAGATAAATAAGTCACCCGAGTTCTTACTTGACTTCCCACTAGGCAAGGTACCGGTATTCAGAAGTGTTACCGGTCTGAGTCTCTTCGAATCAGATGCTATTCTGTAATGTGTCGTTGAAAGTGGTCCCGCGAGCGTTCAGCTGCTAGGCTCCTCCGTGGATGAGCACGCTCTGATTTGTTAGTAGACTGAATTTGCTGATTATGAGCTATTCGAGCCGTTGCAAAATATGGTTCTATGGTGTTATGGCATGGCAGGATTTGATGAAGCACTAGAATTGAGGTCCTATTCCCGGCTGGAAGTATTTCTTAGTGTTCTGGAGGCACACCTTCAAGGCCGCGAATTTGTGGCATCAGGTGATCTTAGTATGGCTGATCTTTCTGTTGCAGCGGCGATGGTTTGGGGCTATGGATAGGTTGTAGATGAGGACTTGCGGTGCCAGTATCCTTCGACAGTCTAATGGTATCTGTGAGTGATCGGACGAGAGGGGGTCAAGCAAGCATTTGGGGAGCCGAACTTTATTGAGAAGCGGCTCGTCTCACCGGGAGTGGAGGCTCAGTAGCTGGTACAGATGTGTATTAGCTGAAGGGGGACTACTTTCCCGTGTTTGTGAATAGTTATGGCGAAACTGTAACAAGTTTATTGAACTAGGATATAGAAGTGCACATTTGCTTGGCTATGTTTTGCGAGATAAATTGTATCAGTTGTTTTGAGGTATTACGCCAGGTTAAAGTAGAATCTGTCTCCTAAGAACATGAAGTATTTCCTAGTACATCAGTGTAGCAGGCTTTACCGTATGTACGAGAGAATTATTGAGGCTGTTTTAAAACAGACATGAAAGAGATATGGACATCTACATACTGACAGGAGAGACAATTGGCTCGTTGATTGGGGATATGTGTATATTGATTTATCAGCTGATATACTCGATGACAAATATCTGATTTCTTTCACGGTGAAGTATCCATCTCTTTTCTTGACACTAACGCAAACATAACAAATTCGAAGATACATAAACCTCGATCTATCCGTTCTTTCACATCTGTCCCTCCTTGTCAGTTTCCGTCGACGTTTCCTATCTGTCCGTGCTTGATCAAAATGCCTACCACAGTAGCTATCGCTGGGCTGACGGGAAAATTTGCGCAGTGTATAGCCAGCTCGCTGCAGGCGTATCCTGATGTATTTATTCGAGGCTACTGTCGGAGTCCGCAGAAGCTGCCGCATTCTCTTCTGCTGGTAAGGAATATCAAGGTAATCAAAGACGAAATCGATGACAGGGTTGCCGCGCGTTTGTTTGTTAAGGAAGCTAACGTAGTTATTTGCTGTTATTTCGGCAGCTCGGCTGTGATGGTACAGGGACAGAAGATTCTGATAGATGCTTGTGAAGAATTAAATGTCCCTCGGTACATTGCTAGTGACTTCGCTGTGGATTATACGAATATACCGGTTAATGCTATTTTCCCGAAAGATTCGGCTTGAATTATTAGGAAATATCTAGCCTCGAAAGGAACTGTTGCAGGAGTCCATATCCTAACAGGTGGTTTGATGGAGACCTTCTGGAGCGAGTTCTTTGGATGTTGGGATTGCACTAGTCGTTCACTCTCTTTCTGGGGCACAGGTGAGGAGACATGGGATTTAATAATCTACGAGACCGCAGCTGCTTACACCGCGGCGGTGGCATTGGACAAAAGTGCAGTTGGAGTTCTGAGATGTAAGTCTGAACTATCATCAGTCTACGATAATTGCTTCCGTCTAACATCTTATGAGCTCTGCTGACCAGTATAGTCCGGGGTGACTGCAAAACTATCCTTGAGATCAAAGACTGCTTTGAGAAAGTCTATACTGTCCCATTTAATCTTGTAAGCCTGGGATCCATCGAAGAGCTACACACGACGGTACTGGATTTGTTCAGAAAAAATCCCAGTGATGTGATGAGCTGGGCACTAAAGTAAATAACTGACTGAAGCGGTTCCGCCTGCTTAACACCGATCTTTTATTACAGATGTTTTGCATACTGGTGCATTCAGCCTGAAGCCCAGTTGGGTGATATACTGGATAATGATTGTTACGAGAGTGTACAAGCTACGGACCTGAGAGCATTTTTCTTATCTCACGCTGTAGATGAACTTCATTGTGCGGATCAAGAGCTCGGATATAGAAATTAGTTCGCGAATCAGCTATTTCTTGGGGTACTATATACCATGTCATTGAGAATATCGTCTATTTTTCATTTCTCTGCAATAGATCCTTAATTGTCAAGTTATTCTGCCAGGGCGTGCATAGATAGTCTTCTATACTTTAATATTTATCTCCGGGTAGGATAGGAACCAATGACATCACGCGTCGCCACTAAGTATTACTAATCATCCCTTATTGCAGATCTTCTGCATGATGCAATATTATTATTTTATAATTTAATATAAACTTATCAACCTCGGCCGCGGTGAGCTGTTACAGCAGTTATTTAAGAGAATTAGAATAAATAAAATTTTCTATATAATTGTTTTATAATTAGAAAGAAATAGTTTTTAAAATTTTTAATAGAATACTTTATTAGACATGGCAAACGGGCGAGCCGGGCGAGCTTTAGAGGGGTCAGCTGTTCGCCCGTTCGAGTTTCGAGCTCTAATTGGCCAGTCTCGGCTCGGGGCCGGGAAAATTTCTGATTGGCTAGGCTCGCCCGTCGAGCCCATTTCAAGCTTATCACATACTTCGGAACAGAAAAACTATCTTAATTAGGCTTAGCTTCCATCTAATCTAGTTAGTTTAATTTACTTGAAATTTTTGATTTCAATAGTTTTACATTAATAGACATTCTATTGATAAAATATATATCTTTGAATATAATCTGACTTAAGCTAGAACTAGCCCAATTAGAAAGCTAAAAAATACTAAAAAATATTAAAAATATCTATTCAATGCACTGATTCACTACATTCAATTAATTTTTGAAAATATTGAAGATTAAATGAATTATTTAATAAAAAAGTATTTATTTTGATTCAACGCGTGGCTTAAAACCACGCGTTTTTACGCGTAGAATTGAACCATATTTAAGTGGGGCTTTGAAATACTAGAACTAATAGGAATACTTGGCAGGCTCGCCGGGTAGCTCTTTAAATATTTAGAAAAAGCTCGTGAGTCTTAGTCAGCAGGGCTGGGGGTCGTCTTGGCACGAGCCGAGCCGGGCGATCCCGAGCCTTCCGGGCGAGCCTTGCCATGTCTATATTTTATAAAGTCTGCTTTATTTAATATAAATTATCTAACTAATAAGTAATTAAAATTCTTTTAATCTTTTATTTTATTTAATTCTTAATTTTAATAGAAATAATAGTATTCTAGATCTGGCCAGGTAGAGCTTCTAATAAATTCTACAAGTATAATTTCTTAGAATAAAAGACTGGATATATATATATATATATTATCTAGAAGATAAACTTTGTATATATTTCTAATCTTATTATAATCTGATATACCAGCGTAGATCTTAATAAACTAATCAAAGTTTATTTTATTATTTATTAAGTAGAATATAGTCATCTCCTTCAGCTTAGAAAATAATTATTAATATAAATAATTTTTTAATAAGTCTTAATAATATTGGTCTCTACTATTAAATAGCAGAAAATAAAGATAAAGCTGTATAATTTTTTTAAGTATTATTTTTAATCTTTTGTACTAGTAGTAGATATTACAAATCTTATTCAGATTAGTAAAAATTATTTTAAAATATTCTAATATATTAATAGCATTTTCGTAGAGATCAGTTAATTTAAAAAAATTTAAAATACTAGATATTTTCAGATATTATCTTTACAATAACTATGCACGTACGCGCGCTGGATTACTGGAGTAGTTAAATAGTTTATATTTATTTTCAGCTTTTATTATATTATAATCAGCTAATTCTTAAAAATAAGAATCTTTTTATTATTAAATATCAAAGAATCAGAGATTTTTAAAGATTTCTTTAATTCCAGAGTGTTAGCTCTTTAATTAAATAAAATAGTATACTATTATTACTATTTATATATTATATTCTTAAAAGATTTTATTATATTTCTTAATCAGATTATTTTATTTTTAAATAAGTATATTATACTGTTCGGCCACAGTATTTATTTCTAATTTTATTTTATTTATAAAACTAAGAACTAGATTAAAAGGTTTAAAAATCTTTTTTAAATTTTTCTTATTTGTTTTATTAAATTTTTTTAGATGATCTCTTTATAATTATCAGTTTTTTCATTTAGTAAAATAATTAGATATTATTATAAATTTTTTTTATATAAAGCTGATTCAGCTTAGCTTTCTTTAGTTATTATTATTCAAAGTCAGTTAATTAGTAGTTTCTAGAGATTCAGCTCAGATTATTCTGTTTTAATTATTCTAGTATTATTAAATATATATTAGAGAAATACTGACAGTCTTACTGGATAAGTAACTATATATAGTATTAATTAAAAAAATCTTATATAGCTATAATATTTAATACTATATAAAAGCTGATTAAATATATTTCATTTAGTATATCTAGATTAGAATATTAAACACCAGAAGGAAAAGAAGAAAGTGTAGAAAAGTATATATAAATAATAAAAATAAATAAATAAAATAAAATAAATAAAGCAAATAGAACTAAGCTACATGATTCAGTCACGTGCCTGCGAACACCGCTCGCCATCACACCTTATAAGCCACTCATATGTGTGTATCTGAGTATATAGAGGACTTTAGAAGTCTGCAGAGTATCTGCGGGTAACGCTGGCCTTATAGTCTTGTATTAACCTTTTCTCCTAAAAGAGTTGCTTACACTAAGCCAACAGGGACAGGGAAGCAATCCTAGGGTTTGACAATTAGCTTTCCAGACGTAGCTCTCTTCTTTCTAAATAAAATTATAATAATATAAATTATTAATATTTATTATAAATTTACTTTAGAATTACTTTCTCAGTATTCTGATATTAACTAGAAATAATAAATAGTATATAATCATACTATAGTTAAGGATGCTTTACAAAGCAGAGAAAAAGATAAATAAATAAGATTAGAAAAAATAGAAGAATATAAAATAGAAAAGAAAAGAATAAGATATATATACAAAAATTTAACACTGATAAAACTAGAAATAATTAGAAAGAGCGGAGATAGAAGAGATATATTAATAGAAAAATAATAAATAAAAAAAGATATTTACTATTATTAATATTCTATTATATATAACTGTTTATTATTCTAGATTTAGAGAGATCACAGCACTGTGGCTAATACTAAATAAGTATTAAAACTATATTTTTTGATCTAAAATAATTTATCCTACTTGTCTGTTTATTACACTCAGCATGCTATTACAGAAAGAAAAAAAAATAAATAAATATTGGTTGATTAGTTGATAGTTGAAATTAAAAATATACTATATACTAGTATAGTATGAAAAAGGATAATATATGTAAAAATAATATTTCTAGAATTATTTTTGCAGGTGGTCGGCCCCTCCGGGCAGACTAAGCTGAATTAGAACTATTAAATATTATAAAATTAAGTAATTGTAAGTTGATTTGGAGCTGATGGTGAGCGGGGTGTAGAATCGCGGACTATGCTCATCTTAAGATCAGAATGAGTTGTGTAGAAATACACCCTTGACGCGAATAGGTTCGGAGGAGAAATCAGCTGCAGGTGTTTTGGTTGTGTATGTGATTAAGCTAGCAATTTCGAAGTCTCTCAGCCGTGATTGATATAAGCAGGATTACAAAGGTCATCATCTATATAATGATATATTTAGCTATAGATCATTCGGTTATAAGATCGATGCTCAATTGACTGAGGAATATATTTGACTAATATATCAGGCTTATCAAACCCTAATTTAATCATACATAACTAAGTACAGGACTTAAAATGCGGTAATCTTGACCACCATTCCCACTCCAGAAGCGATGGGTGCGTTCTTCTTGCTGTGCGCAACGCCCACACTATTTGGGAGGCCAATTAATCTTCGGGATATTTTGTCTTCGTAGGCAGCAAAACATAATGACTTATTTTAATGCCTACTACCCTTCTTACTAGACTTGCTGCCAGACTTGTGACTCGTCTTGCCACTACTAGTCTTGGTAGAGGTCTTGGTAGTGGCCTTGGTAGTGGCCTTAGTAGTGGCCTTAGTAGTGGCCTTAGTAGTGGCCTTAGTAGTGGTGGTGGTAGTAGTCGTGGTAGCAGGACTGGCCTCAACATTGGTGCACTTCTTAAAGCCATTGCTTACACCACGAATATGATATAGCGATCCAACATAGTTATACTTCTTATTCATGATAACACGATACTTGCCCGGATCGCCACCTTTCTCAAGCGTATTAGCACAGGCCCATCTTATCCTGCAGAAGGTGTGGGAGTAGCTTACCGGTATAGGTACCCCCCGAAACCAAAGGATACTCATACAGTTGGGTGGTGGCCTTGAAATAGCCCTCGCCGTTACCATATGTATCTGGATACTTCCCAGCACCAGTCCTTGACTGGCTGATCGCATTTTTGATGTCTGTGGTGGTGAACTTTGTTCCATCGCAGTCAACATCTTTGATGGTGGCGCGGGAAACAAGAGTATGAGGCTCATCTGCCGTTGGGTTGGCGACGGGGCTGGCGACTGCGGTGAGAGCCACGGCTAGGAGAATCGTGGGCTTGAGACTGAAAAGCATTTTGACTTGTTTGGTTCTGGGAAAAGAAATCTTTGCGTTGAAAGGAATGTGTGGGCAGTAGTTTGCTAAGAAAGATTAGCAGGGAAAGAATGAAGAGGGATTGAATGATTGAGTGTTGATGGCGAGATGAAACCACGGATGGTTATAGTACAGAGAAGCAGCTTTATACCTTGCTGCTCTCATCATGTTGTTCTTTTCACCACAGAGTTCGGGGAGCTCGAGGCATCATCGAATGTCTTCCGGCCGCCAAAAAAGGTCTCTGTCTCTGGTTAACTGTACAGCTTCCCCTAGCTGGTGTGTACCACCATTATTGGGGCGAAATGGGGCCGAACTGTAACGAACTGCTACTAGATGGATCAAAATAGCATACATCTCGGTTGGTAGATTAACAGAGCGACTAGGTCCACCAACATAACGGGGGCCGGGCGATCTCTGAGGCTGTAGTTTACTCACCAATGGCAGCACCCGCGCACGTTGGCATCCTTTGGGTATGAAAATCACCTGTCAGATGCAGGGAGTTCCTTTTTGTACAGTGGGGGCTGTTTCCCAATCCATGTTTTCACCCAGTCAAAACCATAGGCATTTCAGGTTTTTTGCTGGACGCGGTTAGTGGTGTGTTGAAAACAGTTGTTGGCTGGTTAGTTTCTTAGTGCTGACCGCTTTCCACACAGCCCCAACGCCCTTCATTTAAATCGCTCAAATCATGTCTGGGACCCATGTTTCCTTCAACCTCCCAATCCAACCCCTTCTACCCCCGAACCACCCCTCATCATGACAAGTTCCAGCGAAAAGTCACTAGTCCGACCAGAATTTGCAATTATCGATGAGCTGATCCAAATTCCGGATGTCTCTCCCGCTGAGGCAGTCCAACGTCTTCTTCGGGTGCGCGAGGTATTACATGAAGAGAGACAGGAATCCGAATCCCCGTCTAGCATCGATGGTAATCATGCATGGTATACCATAAGCAAACTTGTGGAAAAGGCAGAAACTACTCCAGCAGCACAGCAGTACAAACTCCTCGATTTCGTTGCTCTGCTACAACGCACCAAGGTTATCGATCCTGCCACGGGCGAGCAGCCAACAGCGGTTGATC